CTTGCGCTGATGTCGCCGTCCGTCGGCGCCAACGCATTTTGGCAACCAGCCGACAGTTGTGATGAGTGCACGTTCCGGCTTGTGTACTATCGGAAGCGAGCGACGATGAAACAAACAATAATGAACTCCAACAAAAAATACATTCACAACTCAAGGTAATTTCCTCTTGTTGTCGGTTTTACGAGGATTATAATACAAACAATCCATTTGCACTGACTCGTTGGCCGAGTGATCGCAAGTGCGACTGCCGGGCAAAGGGTCTCGGGTTCGATTCCCGGGTCGGGCAAAGTATTTTTAAAAAAACACAGTAGTAGCACGGAGTCTGAAAATGTGCCTGGTATATGGCAATAGGCTCACCCCCTATTACATGGGATTCAGAATATAGATAGTGAAAAGTGGATGCTACCTCTGTATGCACCTCTGCCTACCCCTTCGGGGATAAAAGGCGTGATGTAATCCATTTACATACTTCAATTGAAAAACGGTACGAGTTCATTACTAAATCTTTCTGAACTCCTTTAAAAACACATGTAATGTTAGAATAGAATAGAATAGAATAATTTATTTGCATTGAATGTAGGTACATAATATAAGGTCTTACAAAAGTATATTGTTCCTGGTACATTCTACCATATGGCATGCAATTTTTTTATTTTTTAAATCTTAAAATCTATGAACATAGTGGACTATAATACCTACTATGTAAGTTATAGATAACTTATAGATAAGACTATTATAATTATTAATGGATGACATAATCCTAATAATATTTGAAAATTTACCAAATTCACAAAATATAGCTTAAGCAACTTACAGCAAATCAGTCTATATGTTATCGAATAAAAAATCTGACACAGAATAGTAACACTTTTGTAATAACAAAGATGCAAGTTGTTTTTTAAAGATTCTCAATGGTTGCTCCTTAATGCTACTCGGAATCTTGTTATAAATGATAGGTGCCATACCTAGGACACTTTTTTTTAATAAAGATGTTCTGTAACCACCGGTACATAGCTTGTCTTTATATTGAGACCTTATAGTTGTATTCCGGTTAGTTGTATCCTTTAAAGTAGGGAATAATTTGATGTTACTTTTGACAAAAATAGATAGTTCTAATATGTAAATGCAAGGAAAAGTTAATAGTTTACTATTTACAAAGTAAGTTTTGCAGCTGTCTGTAACATTTAGTTTAAACATAGCTCTTAAACAGCGTTTTTGTTTTGTTATGTCCCTATAAGGCAGAATTGACTTAAATATTGAAAGTAAAAAGGTGTGGTCTTAACAATGAAGTCCCTTCCGTTATCGATGTTGAAGCACGTGGCAGTAGTGTATGAGGTAAACCCCATTTGATAGGGTGACACAGTTGAATAGCGAAACGAATTTGTAATGTGTTAATATAATTTTGCTGCCTTCTGACCCGCCTATTATTATACCGTAGATTATTGATTTCATATCGAAAATGCTGTTTTTTTGCTAAGTCATTCCTTTTGTGTTCTAACCTTATTTTTTAGCAAGGCCGTCTGCATCGTGTGTTGATTAGAGGTCTGCATGTTTTTCCCTTACACATTACTAACATATCTACAAGTGCGTTCCGTCACAGATTATGACTGTAGCGAACACAAAGAATCATCCTGTCTATGTCAACACAAACAATCGCAAAATATTGCGATTAACGCGAGCAGTCGGCACGCGAGACTAGACGGTCTTGTATCTTATACCAGTGTCCCAAAACTTACTCGAATCTTTGTCATCAACAACTCGAATAAATCTTTCTGTACGTCTTCAGAAATAGTTTTCAACTAACCCATTAGAATGTCGACATACATTTCCCTCTAAGAATTTACCATTACCGAAATATTTCGTTATTGCTATAAAGTTAATTAATGAAACATTTAAGACCATATAGGCTTTTGGAGGGATTGGATTTATTTTATGAAGAAAAATGACTGCATTTATACCTATTTGCAGGAGCATTTATATATCAAAGACTTTGAACTAATAAACTAGATACTTAAGTAGTGAAAGCGTGTGTCTATTAAAACTCATTTTCTCGCTGAAATCCTCATAAATATGTTGGTAAGGAGATATTTGGAGTGTTACACAGCGGTCGTAAGACGCAAATAGTAGCACCTAGTGATAAATATACAGACGTATGTACACAGAGACTGCCTGTCGCATCTCGTCTGCCAGCTGAACAATACAACATAGTAGCAACAGAGCAATGTATACCTGTGTGATTCTATCAAATATTCCGTTTCAACACCGACATTTTTGAACAAAAATAGGTCCGCCAGGTTTCTAGATTGGAAGAATATAGCTTATGACTCAGTTACAGAGTGTAAAATGAATTATGCTAACAGAAATGTAGCACGAATGATGTTCCTTTTACCACATTCTAGATAACCTTAAGACAATATTGCCATTAGTCAATCTGTCGGGAGTTTTATGCAACTTGTTTACGTACATATGATAAAGTTATAAATAAATCAGAACGTCTTATATAAAATTTTACGATGAAATTTTCCTTTGTTACAGTATAAAAAAATCTTTATTGAATCAGTCTGCGACATTTCTCAGAATGATGTAAATAACTCATTTAGTTATAACTAAGTATGAAACACGATTTATTATGCAAAATGGGCGTAAATATAATCAGTGTGCTGCTAAAAAGGTTCAGTACTAGTACCTACTGTATTGGAACAAAATGAGATACAAAGGAAAAAATGAATCTGTTATTCATTTTTTCTTTTGTATAAGAAAAAATGGGATAAATGTTAACTGACCCCAAATCGCTCTAGCTATATTTTGTCCCAAATCTTACGTAAGTACGTATGAGGCATATGAACTCGCTAACGATACTCGCTTGATCGCCCAAGCAAGGCAGCCCATAACAAAGACCACCGTCCTGCTAACATAGGTATTTTATTTAGAAAATTCAGTATGTAGACGTTAAGTATCGTTAACCATAAGATACATTTTCGCGCACATATCAATACTGTTAATGACGTCAGGTCTGCCATTATGTATCTGTGGACGTGTGTCGTCACCCAGGTCGGGTACCAACGACAGTATTTTGTTATCGGATACATGGAAGCGATGGCTCGAGTGACAGCCCCCTTTTGTCCTCAACTCCGTGTGCCTCAAAGCTCCCATTCTTCCCTCAGGCATCGCACAAACGTTGTTTTAGTAACAATAATAGCAAGGCAGCATTATCAGCCTTTTGTTTATATTGTATTTGTTAAATACAAGATAGTACAGAGGAATCTTGTGAAAACAGATGGCATTTTAAGCCACGGCGCGTATTCCTCTTAATTATTCCAAACATCATCTTGTGTAAATACTAATGTGTTTTGCTTCTTTCATGCCTTTATGTACGTTATATATGGAACATCTCCGGGTTATAAATAGATGCCATAAGCAGAAGAAATTCCAAATGAAGTTGTCGCTTTAAATAAATAACTGTGCTCACTTAAATTTCCTGTTTATTTTCGTCCCCCCGCTTCGCATGCGAGTGCTTTCTAAACGTGGCGTTGGAAGTTTTGAGAGGTTTACAATCAATATTTAAAAAAAAAATTACAAAGCGTGAAAATTTGTATCGTGTAACACTGTCTTTAATAGAGTCTACTTGTTTGTGTTCTCTAAGTTCATCGTAAGTATCGATTTCATTTCTTGAGAATCATGACTGATAGTAATTCTGGTTTATAAAATTAAGTTTACCAGTTTAAACTGTATCTCCATTGAATAAGATGTAATTCAAAATGTGCTCTCACCTCTCAGAGGCGTGGCATGCAAAATATTTGGATCTACACGTAGTTATTTAACAATTAATCTGCATGTTTAAGCAAAGTGTTTATGAAGATGTTGAAAGCTCGTGAATTGTGGTGAAGTGGGCGGCGATGCTAAATGGAACATTTCCTGAAATCTGTTGTACTTGTTACAACACATGAGTTTGCATTTGCCTCAAAATAACACACTAATTTTATCTCAGTGCAGTGTTAACAATGCGGTTCGCTTGTTACCTGATCCCACGCTCACTTTTAACAATTTGCTATACCTACTTCTATTTACTAACTTCGTTTCGTACCAACATACAAAATAAATAAGAATCAGTGTACCTTATGAATAGGCTAATCGATTATAACCTTTACATTACCCAACCATTGCTAAGTCCATACTTCTATAATCAAGTAATGCGCAACGGAAGAAACAACAATAAGTTTAGTTTTGTTGCCAATAAATAATATAACTCGGCCATTGCCAAAAGGTAGAAACCAAAACATAAAGCCGTTGACACTAATTTGACCACATCAACGCAATTTTGATTGTTTCATGAAACAATGGAGTGAGCACCATTGATTTGGAATTAAAATGAATCACTCAAGGTTAGATCAGTAAACTTGTGACCTGACAATGACCGTTTTAACTACAGAATAGTGGGTCTCTAATCCGGTATGGATTCATTGACATGAAAACTACAATTTGCGTAGATAATAATGGGGCGGGCATACCCAATTAGGATCAACGTTTTTCTTGAACTTACCGAATTAGAAACTGACAACGGAATAAAGTAAATGCTTAGATGACAGTGCTCGCAATTCTCAATATCTTGACAATGAAATAGGTTAGTATAGTAACGGACAATGAAGTACTTACGAATAAAACCTACCAATCAATTAAAAAAACAATACTGGCTCCAACGGTCGAGTTAATGGATTTCAAAATTAGAACTAAAAACGAATAAGAAGAAACCGACGCAATTATTTCTAACAACCGTAATTATTCCTATTTCGAAGTAAGACCACCCAAGTCCGGATTTCCTTCATCGAAATAGTAACAAATGTACTATGCCAAAATGTCTCAGCTCTTTATTTTCTGGTGAGTAGCTTTTGCAAGAACTTACAATCGAGATAGTTAATGGCTATTGTATCTAAAGATTGTCGATAATTAAATGAGTATTGCACACATGGTGGGTACAATGAAATTCTGAGTAACTATCTTACCTCTCCTAAATTGATGAAGCCATGGTCGCTGGCCACTGCATCTGCAGCCTCCTTTCCTCCCGGTATGTGGACGGCCCATGTAGGCGTATAATGCGCAAATGTTGTCTCCAATATTGATAAAATTAACACCAAGATGGTCGACGATAACACGGCACCCCGCGCCATCGCACGCACTCACACACTCACCGGCTAGTACTTATCAGCATTGCACATACACTTCCCAAAGTATTTATTTTTTAAACTGGTCTTGAATTAAAGCTTTCTAATTATTTATTGTAACGTAAGGATAATTGCTGGCTATGATCATAGAGATCTATGCATAGCTCTTTACTGAAAGAAAGTTTACGATTAGCGTACTGTTACAGCATGAGAAAACTTGTCACAAATAGACCCACGTAGTGATAACGTTTTACACATTTTTATTGACGTGGACTGCCAAATTCTCGTAGGTCAAAAGTGTGATTGAGAAAACTTGATTGGACTCGTTTGCGAATAGCTATAGAAGGGAAAAGGGTGATGACTTCAACGATGGACGTAGGTTTCCTAACACGAGTGTGCAAGAAAATTAGCAATCAATCGGAAATCAGTTTCCGACAAATTAAAACTTGGACGAGCGCGTACGGCCTTTGGCAATACTTCCACAATAAGTAGGTCAAGTATACACGAAGGACAAATGTGTGGACCCCGACAGAGTTCTCTGTTATGCCGTTCTTTATTACTGTATCACCGGAAAACCATTAATCACAGTGCGTTTCATCGGGCATACTTCAACCTACTTTGGCGTGAGCATTGTTATATCTGACGTTTGCCTTTTTTCTGTATAAACAAGACATGGATCATTTCCGCAAGTCTGTGCTCCGGTTCCTATTCTCTTTCAAAAAGTAAAGTAAATAATTTAGCATCTAACTTGATTCATGTTTTGTTTGCTCTTTGTTTTTTTCTTTTGTGAGCCGTGTGTGGAATGGAATTGTGGTTTGTATCAGCGCTTTTGTAGCCCGCGTCGTAGCTGCGTGGTGCGTCTCATGCAAAAAGGATAGGTTATTTTGTTTATTTTTTAATAACGCGTAAGGAGACCGACTCAGACATTTTGCCACCAGTATTAAAATTGTGTTGCAAAGTTTCGTTTGTATTTTGTGCACTCTAAGTAATTTTCATAACAAACTTTTAGCGTATTGATTAGTTAAACGAAAAATCATTTCACTCCTGTTTTATGTTTCACGTAGTTAGTTTGCAGTTTGATATAATCGAGAAACTGAATAAACTTTATTAATTTGGGGTCTATTGTATAAATTCACTCCATCAATAAATTCTTATGCATGAATATAAGCAACTATTCATAAAATCACTTTGTTATTAAGAAATGTCTATTAGTTACATTGGTAGATAACCTCCTTGCAGCACAATAGATATTTCATACGAACGCTTGTTATTGTATGCTTGTTGTGAGATGATGTCAGTTACTTGTTATTATGTTTGTGTTGTGTTTATCTATCGTCAACAGATTATCTCCGGGCACCGTCCAATCACTAAATGTTGCCTTTTTTATAATGCATTTTAGGCAACATAGTTTATTTTACACATTATTAAATAGGGTACTTATTTATTAATATTTTACAGTCACGTGTATATTATCGACACCACCTGATAATTGAATTGAAGGAAACATTGACACCGTTATAATGTTATTGTTTGTACTAAAGAACGACCAAGTGCGCGAAATTATTTGTGTTACATTCAAACAATAAGTCGAACGTTACTATGCAAAATTCACACATTTGTCGCGGATAATTAGCTCGTTTTAATATTTGCATTTTTTAAAGTAGGCCACTCATACCGTCAACTGCTCGCACGTTTACCTAGACTGTCGGCGTTATTTACAGTTACTATCGACAATATTTTATCAAGCAATCGCATGCCAAACCAGCTCATAATTTGCATAGTTATTTAGTAACAAAAACACTTCGTCCACTAAAGACAACGTACTATCAAAAGACAAGTTTTTATCTTATCTGTATCCATCGGCTCGCTATGTAAACATTCGGTTTTGTGACTAATCGCCGACGCAAATATTTCGCGTGCAGCCCACGTCGAAAGGCGGATGCTTCATCGATGGAATCCGATGGGAAGGACCAAGATTCCGTGGCACTTAGACAATAGTAGCCGGTGAGAGTCGGCGCCGCTGTGACGAGCGTTCACCTCTCGCATCCCGCCTCCCTGTTATCACTTTACGCTTTTCTAAATGCGTTTTTATGACAAATTCCTCACGTGTTTATTGGCAGCAAGAATCACTACGTTACACTATGATGCACTACAGTCATTACAGGACACGGCATAACTGTCAAATGGCGCGTGAATAATCCGTCGGCTCGGCACAAAACACGGCCGTCACGTCCGCGCACGTGATGCTGACTGGTTGGTTTGCTACTTTGCTCTCGGGCGCTCGCCGCGATTGGAGCCCGAGACGACCGCTACCTTGCCACACTCGGGGAATTTACCCATAAATGGGGAAAATGCTTAGAATTTACATATTAGATATTATATGAGTCTAAACAATTTTTGTAGCGCTGAGTATTTTAGTGTTGTGATATTTTTAGTTTCGTTGGCCTAATTAGGAATAGGTGGTGGTATAGTGATCATTGATCGATACGAATGTCTGGTCACCGAACTCGCTATCTGAATGAATTAAGAGCCTACATAATAGATCACTGCTTCAACGATTTGAAGAGTTCGAATAAAATGTATGTTGTGTAATCTAGAGAGGCAGACTGCAGTACTAACAACCTCAATGAGCTGTATGCGGACGGAATAAGTTGTTGAAAGTATTGGTCAAGGGCATCGCTTGGCATACAAAGAAATGTTATATAACCATTTTAATATTCGACTAGACTAAACAGAGTTTTAACAATGCCTTTTCAATTCACCGGAATTATACGTACGAGATGAAAATTCAAATAAGGAAGTGACTTCATTCATAGTGGTTTAATATAATAAATACGATAGGACTCAATGAACAATAAAAAAAAATTGAAGCATTCTAAATTCAAAAACATATGTTTCGTTTTAAAACTTTGTAGGAAAATTGAGTGTCGATTACTGCGTTTTTATTATAATTTAAAAATGTCAAAGGCCCAATAAAGTTATGTTTTCTATGTAAACCGTATATAGTACAGTGGGCAGCAGGTCAACTTGATTAGATTTTCAACTCTATCGTTTAGATATAAAGTCACAAATTCAATGACAAAATATGACACATTGTAGGAGGTTGATGTGCCGGCGCCACTGTACATTTCATTATAGGGGTTGAAAAATAAACATTGTGCCCACAAAGGCTACGCCTAAAGTGCCCAGTTAACTTAATTCCGGTCGCACTAGGGACAAAATAGTGGGGTGACAGGAATAAGTAATCGATAACTGATCAAACATCGATCTCAATTTGTGGAAATGGATATATGGGGTATTCTAATAGGGTAGATGACTAATTTTTATTTTAATGTCCGTCTGGTAGATTATTTGGAAACAATCACGTGTATTGTTTCTTTTTTTTTTTTTATTGTTTTTTATTTTTTTTTTTTTTTTCAAAAACGAATATTTTCGACTATAATTATATTGATTTGAAATGTCACGTGACGTCCAATTTTAACTATTTATGTCATTTGAGCCTATTGCCATATATCGCGCATATTTCCAGAATTCTTACTAGTGCTGAGAATTTTTTAAATAAAAAGCCTAGTAATACTTTGTCCGGCCCAGGAATCGAACCCGAGGCCTCTTGACCGGCAGTTGCAATTGCGACCACTCGGTCTTAAAGACTAAAAAGACTTAACTTTAGACATAAGATAGTGTTAGAAAAATATATTTTCCGAATATTACTAGTATGTCTAAGTTTTTAGAAATACTTAAATAGGAATAAAATGAGGTCACTCGTGTTTTTTGACCAAACGAGGGAAGTCTATTAAAAGTCTGAATATAAATACGTACCCTAATTATAATAAAATTTTAATGTCTGACAAGAAAATACTAGGTAGGTACTTGAAACTTTTCCTGAGATTTCTCCTGCGAATTATACAGAAGATCGAATTAATTCAAGATTCAATGAAAGAAGTATAGGTACCTAAATCTAAAAGTAACATTTCGTACATAATATACCTTAAAATAACTTTAAGATTTCGGGATGTCGATCCGAGATATTTATTTTATTTCTAAAACGTTTTTTTACAGGCACACTTCGGTTTTAATACTTAATCACTTGAGATTTCGACTTTAGATTGATTTGTGGCATTTTCCTGTGGAAAGGTATCAAATAGACAGAGCCGGATTAACTTCGTAGTAACTTAGCAATCAGTATAATGCACGCTACACACCTTATTAAGTGTTTATATACCTTATACCTATAATTTTAAGTGTGAGAGAGCCATGATTCGGCACGAATAGGCCGGCTCGACCGGGGTGATACCACGGCCTCACACAAAACCGACATGAAACAACGCTTGTGTTGTGTTTCGTCGTGTGAGTGAGGTTGCTGGAAGCCCAATTCCCCCCCCCCCCTTCCCAATCTCCCCAATGTCTGAATCCCCAATAATCCTCAAATTCCTAATCTCCAAAGGGTCGGTAACGCACTCGTAACGCCTCCGATGTTTCGGGTGTCCATGGGCGAGGCCGATTGCTTACAATCAGGTGATGCGTCTGCTCGTTCACCGGATTATCCTATAAAAAAACTTCGGTGTATAGAGCAAATAGTTATACAGTTCTCCTTGAAGGTGCGTAGGCTGTATGGACCTACGATTTAAATATATAGTTCGACTGTTAAAACTGTACAAGTGCACAGTGAAATCATAATGTGTGTAGCTTGCATAAGGGTGGAACTGGCAAAGTCTTGAGACTAACCAGTCAGTTAGCCACTGAATATCAGTATTTAGCAGCATCCTCTTAAATTTTGATAACCTAAGTCGAGGCCAAGCCTTCTGCCAAGCGTAGGGATATGTTTTTGTTCAACTGTACACGTAACTGATGATGAGTAGTATCTACCTATTTACTACGAATCCCGCATAACAAATCATATTTTCACTTCAACGTAATTTTTTTAATGAAACTTATAAATAATCTGTCAAATTCATATCGAGGGCTTCTCAATTTTTGCTATGTGTCGCAAGGGCCCAAAACTCTCGCACGCATGCTTAATGCGGCCCTGCTCCTCAAACAGTTAAAGTATAAACATTTCAACGTGAACAGATATAAAGTAAACCAGAAGTCTCGCCGCCTCCATTACTGAAACAAAAGGTTAAATTTTGAGAAACGGGTTTGATTTGTGAAAATTTTGAAATATAATATTTTTGTCTAACAGCTCTTTAAGGATCCTAGAACGTTGGTGTATTTTTTTTGTAAGGCATAATCCGGTAAAGGAGCAGACGGATCATCTGATGGTAAGCAATCGGTGTCGCCCATGAACACCTGGAACACCAGAGGCGTTACAAGTGCGTTACCGGCCTTTTGGGTATTAGGAGTTTGAGGATCGTTGGGGATTCAGGGATTGGGGAGATTTGGGAAGGGGAGGGTAATTGGGTCTCCGGTAACCTCACTAACGCGACGAAACACAACGCAAGCGTTGCTTCACGTCGGTTTTCTATGAGGCCGTGGTATCACTACGGTCGAGCTGGCCCATTCGTACCGAAGCATGGCTCTCCCACATTTAAATTGTGTAATGTATCCGGTTATTACGTAACACAAAAGGTTTTTGGGTCGTAGTAACAAAAAATGTTCATAAGTATTACCTAAGTTTTCGAGTCCTTATATATTAAAACTTTGGAGACATAGAGACATTACTCTGAATATGTGACGCTATTCGAACTTGTGTATAAGTAGGGATCTAAGTTGAAAATGGTCGGAATAGTTGTTATTTCTGTTGAGATTAGGAATACCTTTTTGGAACTTCTTATCGTTAGGTAAGACAAGTATTACTTATTGAATGCCTAACTAGTTACTAGCTGGGGGCCATGCATTTGCGATAACCCCGTGATTAACTGACTAGAATATTTGTATGTTTCATTGATTATCAATAGTCAGCCATTGGTATAAAGAATTGATCTATTCCTTATGAAACCTAAAAATTGCCTAGTACAATGCTAACATTGTACTACCTACCAATTGTACCTAAGTATTATATTAATAAGCGAAATTGTTAGGTACATTTCTCTATACTAAAATACGCCTCACGATTATCATTTGTAATACCAACCTAATTCACAAAGAGCACAAAGAAACCCAAAACATACCTACCTACTTAGCAGAATAACCCACCCACACATTAATAATAAATTCCAAACATGTATCGCCTTGAGCAAATTATAGTAGATAATTTCATACATCATATAGGGCTTGAATACAGACGATATGTGGTTAAGCCGAGTGCCAAGTTGCGGCCACGATGACCAAAATTCAATTAAATATATACCTTCTTCTATACATTATAAGGTACAATAGGAACTAGAGCTATGTATAGAGTTCCTGCGGTTTGAACTAACCTTAAGAAATTAAGTGGTCAGAATTCCGTCGCCAGGTTCGTCACCATCGGGGCCCCAATATAGAACATAGCAATCAAATAGCTTTTTTTTAATGGGACAAGGCCGCCACTACCTCCCGAAACCGCTGCAACTCCTGTAAGCCAGGATCTACAGTAGATACAACCATGAAAACACCGGAACTCTGAAGTCTATACTATATATAAACTATGGGACGCGCCGGTCCCAGGGACATGAGTAACTGTCTTGGTTCCCGCAACGAAGTGAATCAGAAGATATTATAAGAAGAGAAGAAGGAAAAAACTATGGTTTCCACTTTCCTCGGTGAATTACTGCAGGAGACAGAATGAATTAAGCCCAAAGGCACAAAGAAGAGACTGTACAACTGGGTGAAGCCCGGTCACCAAGCACCAAACGGAAATAAAACTAAAACTTAGTAATCAAATAACTTGTTAAAGGTTAGTGCTAGGTACTACTAGTTTTAATTACACTCCTAGCAAACGCATACTCAAGCGATGTAAACTATTATACCAAAAACCATTCAGAAAACTCGTGATCCAGTGGATGGAACTTTTAGCTTCCCAATTTATGTTTTAAATTTCGGCTGTATTCGGTATCGCATTTTGTGTTTCCATGCAAAAAAAGTCTGTAAATTTCAGACTTCATACAAGTTCATTCCATACCATATGGAGGCAATGACCTCGAGCACGATAATTCCTTCGAAATACTTGCAAAAAATGAATACAAAAACGACTACCAACTACGGTTGAGACACAGCGATGTATTTTTGTTTCTTAACCGTAAATACCGTTAGTTATATAGACCACTTGCGTCTGTGTGAAGAGTTATTGCTCACGTATAAATAAAAACTGACAATTTGAAACTTTTTTAAGCTTTTATATAGTTTTATTGCATGTGATCTTTTTTTAAACGTATACTATTTTTTATTCATCAGTTAATTCTTACATACATACATAACATCACGCCTTTTATCCCCGAAGGGATAGGCAGAGGTGAACATTAAGCCACTGTGCAATGTAACACCCACTTTTCACTATTTATGTTATGAGTCCCATGTGATAGGGGGTAAGTAAGTAAGCCTATTGCCAGTTAAATCTTAATTGTAGAATTAAATTGACATTTGACAGTTTTAAATATGGAAGGATTGTGAAATACTTATTCAAAGTATTTACTCAGTTAAAATTTATTTGGCGTTGAAAAAATCGGCCCTTATTGCAGTAAGTCCAACGTTACACGAACATTTTTAACATTACATCCAAATTTTTACTCATAGAAACTCTTTAGTAATTACTATTATAGTAGTAGATACTTGGTAAGTTTGAATATGGATTTTATACATATTAAGATAGTCGCGGAGAATCTAACGGGTAACCGGGGCTCCGGCTCGAAGTGCAGGAGTAGGAACGGGGTGGTTTTTAGTCAGTAAGAGTCTGACACCCCTCCCGCCTCACCCAGGCTGGAGCAGCCATTCGATGATTTTCCCCCATTAAAAAAAATACATATTAGGTAGGCACCTACTTACATTATGGGTACATTCTTTATAATTAAATCATTTATTATTACCTATAGTTCTTACCCTTTCTGTATTGTATTTACGGTAGCTTTTTGACCGACTTCTCAAAAAGAAGGAGGTCCTCAATTCTATTTGTTGTTATTTTTCTTTTTGCAATCATTCAGTATTGATGCAAGATGTTTTGATTTAAACAGCACAGGTTCGGTGAGCCTCCATTCTAAGGCTACAGTAGAACATATCATATCACTGGACACTGTGTAGTTTTTTTTTATTATTGGTTCTAAAGGTTCTGAACCACAGATATTTATTTCTGTGTTCTGATCCTTTCCCAGTATTTCAGAAATATTGTTCCTTTCGTTTCATTTACTTTGTGTATTGTATTTTCCTTTTGCATACGATATAGAGAAACATTCCATTGTGTCTTCTCTATACAGTGGTCTCAATATTTTTCTAAACGATTCAATCTCTTTCACATAGCCAATGTATACACGCTTATAGGTAGGTACCCCGCAAAAGAGAAAATACAATGTGGAAATTTAAAGAAGGTGCGAATTTCAATATATTCTTTTCCAATATCTACACAGTAGGTACACATATTGATATGCATAAGTGCCTAGATAGGTGCAAGTGAAACAAATGAATTTATTTCTGCAAATAGCTACAAGGCAGCACTTTGACACGTCAATTTTTATCCAGCGAACGATGAGTTCCCATAGACTATACAATATATACTGAGCCTTCTTTCTTACAAATGTGCTTACAGTTGCAATAAGGAATTTTGACAATGGTACTTAACGAATTAAACTAAGAAACACAATGCTGCATACGTCCAGGGAAATACTAAACTGATACTTAAGTATTTTCTGACACAATTATTTTATTCACTGGTAACGTAGGTCATATAAGAGGCAATTTATTTACCTTTAAAATCAAAGCATTTTGTTGTAAACGGAATATTTTTTAAAAGTTATAAAGGGTCGATAAAATAAAAAAAAAACACTAGTGGCTAGAGTTTACGTTCCTTTAATCCTAAGTGTATTTCGAATAGAGTTCATTACTACCTAATACATACAAAACATCACGCCTTTTATCCCTGAAGGGCCTATACCTTCAGGGATAGGTATATAGGTACACATTACGGCACTTAATGCCACTGTATAATGTAGCACTTACTTTTCACTCTTTATGTTATGAGTCTCATGTAATAGGGTGTGAGCCTATTGCCATATACCGGGCAGATTTCCAGACTCCGTGCTACTACTGAGGTTCTTTTAAAACCCAGTAATACTTTGCCCGACTCGGGAATCGAACCCGAGACCCCATATCCCCCCATATCATAGACAGTCGCACTTTCGACCACTCGGCCAATGAGGCAAACTACCTAATAAAATAACTATATTCGAAGCTATCTGGGTAGGGTAGGACCTACCTATATTATGTACCTACACATAATATATCCCTTCGTCCGGGATATAGTAGCGATGAATAACAATAAAGTCCGATATCAAGCAGAGCGACAGATTTACAATCGTAAATTGCTGCAACCGGGACACGCTTCGCGATATTCTATCGGTAGGTACATTACCGGAGTATTATATACAGTGGCCGCCAGATCAAACCCCTCCAATTCGTCAATTTTTTTTCATTGAATTTTCTGCTTTACAGCAAAACGATAAAGTTGAAAATCTAATAAAGATATTTGAAAGAAAGGTGTAACTAAACATGCTGACCACTACAAAACCGGTCATCAAGTGATCCCAAGTCAGTGGCAAAAACTTGCCACGCACGTGCCATAAGTACATACGTATCTCCTCCAATCCTTTTATAGTAATATCAATCAACGTCTATTCACATTCACAAATCTCATTTAATTTAAGAAATCCACTGCGTCATACAGGTTTTCCCCGTCTATTGTCGGGATCCGCTTCGCATAAAGAAACTGGTCGTGTAAATAATCTTTTTAATGCGAGTAGGTAACGCATATACAGCGTGATATACTTTACTATCTTTTCATCGTGTCTCCCACTAATGGAACCTGTTACTGTGGTACAAAGGGCTACAAAAGATACCTACTCTTAAGGTTTAGAGAAAAATTGGGCCACTATCTTCTACTTGTATTGCCAAAATTAAAGGATTCTTTTTCATGTGATACATTTTTCTCTCTATGTGGTTATCAAGAGGAAATTGTAAACACTATCTACCGCTATTACGTAATAATACAATAAAGGCATAAGCAACTATAGCAAAAAAAATATCTACCTATATCACTACATAGTATAAAACAAAGTCGGTATCCGCCGTCTGTCTGTCCCTATGTATGCTTAGATTTTTAAAACTACGCAACGCATTTTGATGCGGTTTTTTTAATAGTTAGAGGAAGGATTATATTTAGGTATAATACATCACTATTGCTAATGCCACTTTCTTACGATTATAAGTAAGACGTTGTCAAAAACAGTAATTTCTATCATTTTGTAGTTGTAATTTTCTTGGTTGGTATCTTATCACCTATTTTTATTTAGGAGAGGGGAAAATCATCCAGTGGCTTCTCCCGCCTTGGGGGAGGCCTGAGGGAGCGTTAGACTCTTACTGACTAAAAACCACCCTGTTCCTACTTCTGCAGTTCGACACGGAGCCCCGGCAACCCGTTAAGTCCTCCGCGGTTCCGTATCGGCATCAGACGTACTGGACTAGGTTCCATCTGTGGCGGTCTGATGGGTCTTTGAGGCGCGCGCGGAACGCGACGCGCCCTACTCTCGGGGCTGGTCTTACCTACCACCTACACAAGTAGGTAAGGATAGAAAAACATATTTATAACATCATTGGTGTAAAGTGGGTGCTCATGCTAGTGTTGCGCCGTTGCCTGCTCTTCAGGAATTAAAAGGCGTGACGTTATGTTACTGCTGGTAAATGCTAATTTAGAAAACCGTGGAATTTGAGAGTTTAGAGTTTATTGTTCAAACTTAGAGCCATTATTGTATTACTTTGGAAGTTAGAAAATCCTTTAGCTAAACAGTAATTAGCTAAACAGTAAAATAAAAATAAATTAAATACCTAGTGAATTGATTGCAACACTTTATAGCAGGGCTGTCCAAACAAAGGCCCACGGGCCACATTTAATCTCAAAATCTTCATCTTATGTGCAACAACACTAATAAAATTCAATGTATGATTTGTATATATAAGTTTTGTCTGTGAGTAAAGAATACAATGTTAAATGTCATCAAGTATACAACTGAAAATATTTTTCTGGCCCTCCAGCTTTTGTAAGAATTTAATTAGCCCGCGAGGGTATATAGTTTGGACAGCCCTGCTTTATTGCATACGTATCCTAAAAGAATAGAAACTCGTATTTACCGCTACCGGCCGCATTCGTCTGGCCCACTGTCATTGGTTGCAACTACTTTTATAGTTCGGGAAGGTTTACAACAAACTATTTTTTATTACTAACACATAGTACAAATAATACATAGTATTTTCATTCTTCCTTAATGAATATTCTATTGTAGGTAGAATTAAAAAAATAATCATTCATCCATTTCGAACATTGAAACTAAAAGACGATAACTAAACGTCGTTGTTAGTAGTACTACAACTTTTTCATAGATGGCGCAGTAAGCAATATTACCTGTACTGTTTTATCATAGAAGGCGACCAATCAAATGTTGTTAAGTGTCCCACTTTCATGACGTCATTATTTCCACGTTGGAAGTTGGGAAGAAATGTCATGTCGCTTTTTATTTTGTAAACTAATGTTTGTAAATTATAAATAATTTAAAATGTTTTAAATGCAATAAAAAGCATTATTAATTCTTGGGTGTGTGTTAAACCTATTAAAAATGTGCCTGTAATAGGATCAGTTAGTTACGATGACCTCAATGTGGATCTTGTCAGATCAAAATGACTCTTTACAATGACGATGTGAACAGGATCCTGGATTATCTTACAAGAAATGACCACGATCTTCAACAAGTGAATAAGAACCCAATTAAAATGGATACATTTCAACAGGACGGTCTAATGGTTCGTATCTTACACTTTTAATAATCTGTATACTGATAAGGTATCGCACTTCTGCAGATATTGTGATGAACCGGGTAGATATTTAGCTAGTAGAAGGTACGCGCGGTGCCGTGGTCGAGCGGTGAAGTAATAGTGATCGCCGGGCGATTGTCGAACCTCGTTGAACAGCTTTCGTGAACTCACGCTCCCACTTTTACCGTTATACGTTCATTTGGTTTCGTGAACGGACGTAGTTCACTCGCGGTGTCTGCAACTTAACATTCCCGTGTCTTCCTTATCTAATTAGTTAATACTCGGTAATTGGTGCGAGGGTTTCCCCTATCGAGCGTGTTGTGTTGTGGTATAGTCTTCAGTCGAGGCAGTGCGTCACGGAGTTGCGTCGCGCCGGCCGTAAGCCGCGTAAACAAGGTGTAATTTGCCAGCTAGGCACCATGCGGTCGCTATCACTTCCATATGCCGCATAAATTTCAATAAGTATTCACCGGTGGACCTCATAACTTCATAAGTACAGTTACCAGAAACAAACAGTGTGTTATTGAAGGTGTTTGAAAACAATTTTCAGTGATAATTTTTCTCAAACGGATAGTTTAGTGTGATTCACCAATGTTAAAAGTGTTGATGTAATCTCCATGCAAACTTAAAGTGTTCAAAATGGATAAAAAAGTAGATTTAATGTCTCTTTTTGAGGTAATTGTTGTTTTTTCCCTTTTTATTTATTATTCTTACATTTTTGGATAAGATTCTTATTAGATCCGGAGTGTTTAGGCTAGCAATTATTATCTTACAAGGCCACTAAGAAACAATTATCTGGTTTACCAATTAAAATTATATTTGATATCAGTACTACTTGTATATCTAAATCTAAAAGTAAATGATAATATACAGGAACCGTGTGTGGAATACTAAAACATGATAAGAAAACCTTGTTTTGATGAATTTCCACAGCTAAGCATGATAATATGAAGATAAAAAATTGTGTTATATGGAACATTTGAATAAGAAATGAATTTTTACCTTTCACTCAAGGCTTCAGTGAATCGAGAAAATGAAAGTAGTATTAAATGCAAAGAGTGCAACCAATTCAAACTACTTTTTGACTCTTATAAGAATCTTATGACTTATATCTGTTAGAATAACAAAAAAACTGTCTTACTAAGTATTCTATTATTTATTTACTTTCTTGTACATCATACACGAAATAAAGGAAGAAATTATAGTAAAAGTATGGATAATAACTCACTTTATCATGGAAGTTGATTCTTATTAGGAATATAGTATTGGATTGTCAAATGTACAATAATATCACATATTAATTAGCTTCTAGTTTGCAATATAAATACATTAACACTCTCTAAGGATGAGAGTCAAGTTTGCTATGAATAACATACTGATATTACATTTCTTTAGTAAGAAGTTGCATTCCGAACATCTACCGGAGATTCTCACATATTGCTTCATCAGTATTCAGAAAATAGTAGAATACACCAGAAGGATGAGATCAGTGCTTAAATGTTCTAGTTACTACCCCCTATTAACTATAAATAACAATATTGTTGGTTAAAGTAGGTTAATGAGTTTGTATTTTGCATGCTTCTTGCATCAGCCAAAGGATAAAATGATTAAAGTGTTTTCTGCATTATGCAATGATAACTTCTGATTGCAAACAATTGTTTGTCCTGTATTGTTTTTCTTTTTCTTTCCCTTGTTGGTACACAAAATAAGACTTTGTTACATTGGTTTAACTTTAATATTAAGGAAGAAATGCATCACTATACTGCATGTTACAAAATGCTCTATGGAGGTCCGTTTAAAATTGTACTTAGATAGTGCTATATAAGCACCAATAGATATTGTTTCAGTAAATTAGTATTTTGTTAAATATAATTTACTATTGATGTTTTTTGCCTAATTAGCAATAGCATTTAGTTACAATTGTCACATAATTGGCTACTTAAAAGAATGTAGGGTTTCGCAATCACATTAATGACTACCAGTTTTTAATAGTGTAATCAGCCGACCCAGATTTCATTTTGTAATTAACTAATATCATGAGTTCATGATATTAGTTAATTATATTATGAGTTCATGATATTAGTTATTTTTGACTACAGTTATTCCAATATAGTTATATTGGAATAACTGTAGTCAAAAATATCAGTGGTTCAGTTAAATGTTCATTATGTAAAATAATAATAAGTGCTATTAAGTAAGCGGCTAATTTTAAAACTTAAATGAAAGAAATTCGAAATTGTTACCTATGCAACTTTCTTTTAGGGATACATAGGCATGATGTTGTTAGTATGTACCTATGCCTATCCAGGCAGTTTTATACGTACAGCACACCCGTGTCATACATAAATTATCTTTGTTTTTCTAAAATGAAATAAGTTTTATGTATGAATTTCATATCTCTCTGCACACATGATGAGACTGACATGATTGCACAGTTGGGTCGGTGGCTAGGCAACCGGCTACGGATTGCCACATGGAACAACTCTTTGTGTGACCCACAAATTGTTGTTTTGGGACTGGTTGTCATGTTTGTGTGAACTTCTATGTTTGTAAACGCACCCACACGATACAAGAAAAAGCCCTAGTGTGGGGCAACATTATATTTAAAAAAACACATAGGTTAAACCAAGCTATCATGAAAGTACCTGTACCATTTTGACGGTCATCTTTTTTGCAGTCGGACTCCTGGCCGACGTCCGATGACCTCCTGGAGAACATATTCTCCTTGGAGCAGGGATCGCTGAACTTCCTTGAGGATGCCATACCTGACTTCAACCTATGCGAGAATGTGTCACAACCCTCAGAAGCCATCAGCAGCTCTTGCTCAGACAGCGGACTCTCCAGTGACCCGGCTGAATTGTAAGTAACTGGTTTAGCATTTCCGACTCCATTTTTATTGATATTTATTATTGTTATTATAGGACTTAAAATTAACATGGGAAAAGTGGGTGTCCTTCATTCAATTGTCTTGCAACTTTGGATAGTATCTTGACGTAATTTTACTGTCATAGCGAACTAGGATCGTAGTTTATTACAGGTAATTAGAATTCGGAAAGTTCCAAATTGTCTAGAATATTGTAGCATATTGGTTCGGTAAGGTAGACGATAGAATAATGTGGACATGCCAGGCCATTTACTCTTGCATTTAATTTAAGACTATGAAACGCAATTCTACTTCATAAGACGCAATACTTATAAAACGAAAAGGTCAAGACAAGCAAAACATATTTTCTTTTATCCCCTGCATTCATTTGTCATATAATAAGTTATCAAAAGTTGTTAAAAAAAAATAAACATTTTCTAGTTTTACTACAGTTTTACTAATCTAATTTCCTTTTACGTAATTGTTGAGTTCACCGACCCGTGTCGAACAATTGCACAGAAGCATATACACTAATGTATCAGCAACATAGCTTCTGCATACTTAATCAAAATACATACTTAGCCAACTTTACAAATTGCTTAGACAGATGTTCGTTTATCATTCCGGTCAGCGACGAAGCACTCGTTATCGTCTTTGTTGAAAAATACATTTTGATACTAATTAAAAATGTGTTTTTCACATTATGTATAGGTTACGTAAACTCATTAACTTGAATGCGCAGTGAGAATTATATAGAATTATATCTTTACACTTATGTAACTACAATTACAACCTGAAAGCAAAAACGTTGAACATTGGCCTTTATTGGAACATGACCTTTGTGGGAACATGGAAACGTATTTGGACTATCTTTAGCTAGGCCAATAACTATAGGAGCGTAGATACGCCTAATATAATCAATCTTGTTGCGTGAGTGTAACTAATACCCAATAAGTATCAAGACGCAAACTACTTTAATATCAACGCTTAGGACCACCATAAATACAGTACAGTATTACAAACTCTTTCGTGTTCAGTTACACAAAAAAAAAGTAATCAAAGTAATAGGTTATGTACAAATTACGTTGTGGTTTATGGTATTAGGCTGAAAAAAAAAAATTATACGGCCAGTTGTAAGCAGTGATTAGTAATGAACAATACAAGCATTTCTAGCGTCCTTGTAGTACGTAAATGTAGTGTTATAGTCTATAGTTAGGTAGGTACGCTAGCACATTTACACTTCGTCCGTATTACGCCAGATAAGTAATTGGCTTGGAAACAGACTTCCTTTAACACTTGTTTTATTCAATTTGAATAGATTACTAAGAATATGAGCGCCATTTTGTACAGCAGCGGTTTAATGTATTTATGTTATTGCACAGGAAAATTATAGCAAAATGTTTTATATTTATAGAATAGAGCACCTCGAATACCCCGAAAGCGTGCACTTTTTGCCGGTTATACTACCTAATATGAAATTATCTGTATTACAAAAACGAAACCTCTTGATTTGCATTAAAGAGAAAATAATAATGCTGTGACATGTTTATAAGGAAAACCGCCATATATTACACCCAGACTTTTACATAGGTAATTCAACTTGTCTGCACCAACCCGCATAAGGCCAATGTAACAGGACTTAAATTAGGCCAACTTTAAAATTCAATTAGTGTAACGCGCTTACCGCAGTACCTAATATTATTGGATTGTTACAAAACATTCGTAATAGTAGACATGGCCCCGTAACACAAGAAATGCGCAGATTTGTAGTGATTCTCTCACAAACACATTAATATTTGTCATAAGTGCCGCTAAGTCAAGTTCAAGGAACTCTATTGCCGTATAATAAAGCCCATTTTAGCGTTGCGCTAATAAAACTATCAAATCGTAAAGCCGTCGGACAGGTCCACCCTATTCTCGGGTTAATGAACATGGTTTTGAATACCTGTGAGACGACTTAACGTTTCGTAAACATGTTCAAAAACGTGTCCAATTCTGGCTATTGCAATGCTTACGAACTGTTTAAGTATTTAGGAATAGGAAAGTCGTTAGACTGACTCAAAAATACTTTCATTAAATTCTTTATGGAATGGCGTCGCAACATATAAGCTGACTAATATTAAAAGAGTAATAACCTCAAAACCTACACATTTAAGACAGAAAGTGTAGTTTTCCATTTATAAAGAATATTCAAGTACGTAGGGCAGGAATAACTCTCAAGGCACTTTAGTATCTGTAAATAGAATGCATACGCCAATGATGTACAACTGGGTAAAAGACAAGTACTAGAAGTACCACGTTTGAGCGAAGAAATTGAACTTCAAATGTCCGCCATTCACCGGCCGGTCAGCCGGCATTGTTAGTCGTATGGGCGTAATTTGCACGAAGCTGGCAACGTACAGCAACACATTTTATCTATTGCTTCCAATCATAGGTCCGTTATGAAGGCAATGACTCGAAGTGTCTGTTGATGCAATGGTACGCGTGTGACCAATTTATTTTTGTGAAGTATACAATGTTAGTGACGCTCTGTGTTTAGTATTCTAATCAGTGCCAAAGCGACAAAGTGGTACGCGATAAGAATTTGTTTTTATACTTAGATACAAATTATGTCAGGATGCATATCGATAAATTTTTATAGTAAGACGCGTTTGAAGTAATCGCCTGTTGCCACCCGATTTTAGTTCAATGTCTTTTTTTATAGAAGAAAATATTATGGAAATCGTGTCGGAACAATAAAAATTTTATCACCTATTTTCCGAAGGTTTCGTGTTTATTTATTACGGTTATTATCTAATGATTTTTTGGTTCAAAGGATTGTTATGGAGAAGGTATTTGAATTGTCGTACATGTTCTTAAATCATACTTTTATTACCATTGGCCTTCTCTTCTTTATTTTAGAAGGATTTGGAAAGATTTCACTAGAATGTTGTCGTATCTCAGTCTCATTGAGACTGTCTCTTTATTATCAAGTATTTAAACATAGTAAAAATAAACTGATAACGCAATAACATGCTCTCAACGATACCTACGACTAGATAGAAAACAAAGTAAAAAGGTTGGACTACATTCGTTACATTGAGGTCAACACGTGTGGAAACCTATCTACGTAAATAAGTAAATAACATAGACGTTATATCAATAACTAGTACATTAACAAAGACCCGTGTAAACGGTTGAAAACACGCTATTCAAGCGACACGTTGGTTAAACGATACAGGTTGAATAAAGGGCACTTCTAGGTTAAACTAATAACACATTTATATCTGTGTGATTCGCATTCATATTTTCCCCGAACAAAAACTGTTTTAAAGAAAGTAACGTTTGTGTTAAGTGCAAAAAGACGCAGAAGTATGCTTAATATTTTAATTAGACTCGCTTATCTCCGGAAAGCATCTCTTTGTATTTATTTTGTTTATGAATACACTTTGAGGTAATTTGTAAGCTACTTAAAACCATAAAGACGACGTTTTAAACGTAGCATGCGAATAAAATCAGGGAGTCGAATCAATATTTACCGCAGACCAAATGAGTCACTCGAGAATGTCGAAGCACCGAAGGTTGTCGTCATCATTTCGCATTTGTTTCATCAGCCAACCTTTTCTTCGTTTTACGTGTATACTACACGTAATGCTTTATCTGCACCAATCCCCTTCTGCCACAGTGATATAACAATTAAATTGTGTTTACTTAATACTTTGTTAGTCTAGTCATAAATGCGACACGGTTTCATGGCGGATTTTTTTGTAGATTCTGATACGGGTATGACCAATGTACTTAGAACGAGACGTTTATTATCTATTTTAATGTTTTACCTAGCATACAACTGTAGATGTACTCGGTACTAGATACTCGTTTACCAACTGTTTCGAAAGCAAATAAACTTCAGGCCCTTATTAAATGAGGTCTTATCTTCGTAAGATGATGTATAAGCAAATCCTATTCTTTAATTTGTATCGACACCATTGTAGTCAACCCATTTTACCCAATACTTAACGAAATGATCATCTATCCACATTATTAACAATCAATGGCAATGGCATAGGAAAATTGATTCTCTTATTTAATACTAACAGCATTGCCTGAGTCACCTTCATACCAACTTAACTCGTCGAGTACCGGTTTTATAGACACAATTAAAGAACAATAGGTCGCGGTCACCGGTGACCGCTTGGTGTTTGACAGTTTAAATACAATTTCTTTTATATAGTAGCAGGAACACAATGTGTTATTTACTGCGAATCTGCGACGCTTATCATATAAATTGTTCAGATAAAATTCATGATTGTTTGCGTACTCTAAAGATGGTATGGAGTATGGAAAAAAAAGTAATGTGCCCTTTACTTGACCTTTTGGTGGGTTGATGTCCTTTATTCAGGGTTAAATTTACCAGGTAACTATTTAAAAAAGGTAGGTAGTATCAAGAGGAGTTAAAAAAGTAATGTGAGATTTATGAACAGTATTTCTGATTTCGTATGTGTATTTTTCATAGCTTCCTGCTTTCTGATGTCCGGTCGTTTAACTATTGATAAGTTTTTCTATTCGCAAACGAATGTTGCTTTATAGTATGTATGTATGTTTAATTCTGCGATAGGCAAGCTATTATTTCCCAATCTGTATTTTTCCAATGTTTATCTTGATAGCGAACGATTTTGTCCACACAAAATGGTTACATTAATACATGAATCATTCCTTAATAATGTGTTTTGTATTTCAAGGTATATGAGAATACATATGTTCATAATTCTATACGTGGTTTAGGTAAGATTTTGTAGATACTTACGTACCTTCACGATAATATCGGCAAATGAACCTTGGCGGTTATATCAATTTAATATCTTAATTCAATTGCGTTGTTCATAAAAATAGTATAGTACTACCGATCGATATTAAATCGTATAGATAATGCCCTAAAAGTTGTTAAGAATATTATTTTAAAAAGAATATGTCTGCGACAAGATATGAAGTGAAAACAACTCGTATCTCCAAGTGCGCAATACTTTTGATAACCTAAATACACAGAAAGTGCACTCAATGGTCGTCCAAACTATCGTCCTACGTCCAAAGATATGTCTTTGTTAAAAATTTAAAATATGTAATCAAGAATGGTAATTACTTCATTCGTTGTTGGCATAGTGCGGATCTCTAGTGTGATATCAGTTCTGTCTTCAGTCACCATGTCAGGCAGGCATAATCTTATAGAAGTTCTGTATTACATGGATATTAATTGGGTCCCGTTTAGTTAAGCTATTACAATATAATTGGCGATGATTTAGTGCAGGTGATATCGACGTAATTATGATATAACAACACATACTATCGATATATAAATGTCTTAATCGAAACGATACTTCTGGAAAGCACCAAAGCCGTCGTGCAGTGCCTACGTGTGTCTGAAATATCATATTTATTTGCCTTTCACTTCCTGACATGCCGTCAAAATTCGAGAGCGAACCGAGCAAAGTTTTAAGTAGCAACTTTTTTGTTCAGTGAACGGTCTTCAATAGGGAATGATTCATCACTCTCCTGCCGTTAGGAATTCTATTTATTTGCGGTAGGCGCAATATAGATATCTTTTTTGCCTCCTTTTAAAATCGACAGCTCACCTTAACTGTATCGGCTTTTATGGATTCTACACGTCATCACTTACGTATTTAGTCTTTCTCTTCTTCTTAGTGTTGAAATGTTGAAACGTGATTGCTAAGCACGAAGTTATGAACAAGATTGTCAGTTCTGAGAAAGTGTGATTAAGATTTTGAGTACCTATCTAAATATTTAGTATTTCGCTCAACCATAATAAGTGGCTACATTAGTTCAATAGCCATTACTCTTTCACTAGAAAGAGCCTTGTTATTTTGAATGCCTATACGTTTGTCCCGTAACGATTATTAACTCAATGCCGTGCGCAATTCGTTGATAAGGAAAGAAAGTGTTATTAAAACAAGCACATATTTTTACATTAGTCTTGGTTTTTATAAGTGCTATTTATGAGAAAAGGCCATTTGTTGCCTAACCATGCTAAACTGTTAGAGGAAAAGAAAACGCCGTATGACGCCTGTACATTCAGTTACGTGTAATTTGTACAATAAATAATGAACATTATTACTAAACAATACAGCTTAAATTGCGCAAAAAGTCCCTTCTAGCTGGACAACATAGGGATAGTATTAACACAAGTTGACCCCTACAATACTTTGTGAAATCGTTCGTACGACACAGCCCTTGACATCACAATTCACCCCATTTCAAGTAGACATCGTAACCTACATCTTCAATCGATTCTATCTCACAGGGCATTCATCTATTATTTCCTTTTATTTTCACTTATCTTCCTTCCTTCAATGTATTGCAAAATTTGGCAATATTCCAACAGGATTTTCAACCAGTTTTGTAAGGGAATTCATAATGAATAAGCGTTTTCTTTCCCGTTCAGTAGGTCAGTAAATAACTTGTGAAGGTTCCAGAGATATCAGATTAATGAGAAACGAAGCCCACACGAAATAAGTCTCGGTTCACTGATTGTCGTTTCTATGTGCGTAAGTGCCTTGGTTGCTATGTGGTAAAAGTCTTTTAAAGTCAGGTTTCTCTTGAGTTTCATTCATAAGAATAGGGTAGATGCCTAATTTTTTATTTTAATGTCCGTCTGGTAGATTATTTTATATCATTAGACATGTATTTTTTATTTTGTTACAGAAACAAATACTTTCGACAATATATTGATTTGAAATGTCGCTGGACGTCATTTCTATGTACATTTTATACGTAGAAATGACGTTTTAGCCCCCACTCCTAAACTTTGATTCGTTTTATCTAAGTATTATTTTATTATACAACAAAATAAAAAAAAATACGTGTCTAATATTTTTTCTTTACCTAACTTACAGACTAATTAGATTTTTAATTTTCATACCCCGTCATCATCCCATTGGTAGAGGTTTTTTTCTTCTTCATAGGATCGATAATCTGCTCTAATACTGAGTGAAATTCTTTATCTATTTGAATAGAGAGATACACAATGATTTGGAAATCATTGTGTATCTCAAATATCTTTTCTTGCTTACATTTTAACACGGTGTTATACATAAAAAGCCAACGTGTCGTGTTGTGCTTTGGTTTAAAAACTCGATTCATTAGCTTGAAATCCGTTATGTCAGCTCGGAAAAGCGGTAGAGCTTCCGAATGTATGTCAAGTGCATAGAAAATCGATCGTCCGTCATAAACAACTCCATTTACGAACAACATATGAATAAATAATAAAAGACAAGTCGGAATGACAGTGAGTCTGGTAGTGGTAAAGAATTATAATCACCACCGCTGTAATTCCCGCGGGTGTAATATTTTAGTGAGGTTTTACACAATTATGTAAAACCTCCTTGACAGAGACCCGACAGGAGTGATCTCTGATAAACTATGATCTGAAACCTGCCTGCCAAGATAGCAATTTGGTAAACGCTTCTTATGTAGAGGGTAAAATAAATGTAGGTATGTAAAATTTATCTTTTTTTTTCAATCATCAGTAATTCTTAACCGTAGAATAAAATTGACAGGCGTACAAGAATTGACAAATATTCGAAATTATTCCTGTGATAAACTTTAACTGAACATCGAAAAATCGGCCCTTTAACTAGCAATTCTGTATATTTAAAGGTTTTAATTATGTATCAATCAACAATCTCAGAAATGAATCCAAGGAATTTCTTGAAATTTTGTGTATTTTTTTGAGGGTTACGGGGCGATAAATCTATCTAGCTAGGTTTCGTTTTCAGAAAATGTCTTTTACTAAAATAAACACTGGTCATCCAGATACTTACTCGTAATAGTAATAAGTAGAAATACACTGTCTGGTACTTACCGCGGGTTTTACCATTATATCTTTTTTATATTGGTTTTGATATGATAAGGATACAGAGGTGTTTATAAACGTTTGGCACGCGTTTGTGGGTTATAATTATAACGTTTATGTCATAGGCCTCTGGTATTTTCCCTGTTCATGTTATTTTAACAACTTCAAAGTCCAGAGGCTTTAGTACGAGTTTGTTTAAAGTAATCAAAACTATACTCGGAATTTTAATTCGATTCCAGATTTGACAATTTCAGTGTTGCAACGTTATGACAAGTACCTACTAAATAGTGACGTTGCGAAATTATTCTATATGGAAATGCAATATTTCTGGATCGATTCTTCTCGTTTATAATTTTAATCTCGTAAACTAAGTATATCAGGAAATTAAATATTTCTGAACCGATAATTTAGTATTGACGATTAATTAACGATCTGAGACTTTTCGTTTATAATTGTGTGTGAAATAAATAAAAAATGTAATCATGAAGGAACATGACAAATAAAACAGATAGATGTATTATGGTAATAAGTTATTTTATAAATTGTCGCCGTCATCGCTATCGCTATCCTGTTACTTTCTGTAACATTTATTATAAAAGACACACACTGATTGTTTATCGATTTTTGTGTGCATCACTACACTATTATATGTGGTATCATTATTTCACAAAGTGACAGTAGCTATTGTCAAATCTGGAATCTAATTAAAATTCTGACTATAGTACGCATTCGGCGTTTGGCATTGGTTCATCGAAGCCGGCCAATCAGAGCGTCGAATGCTTACTCGTTATGATTATTTTAAACGTAGAACAAACTCGTACGAACGCTTCAGAATACTCGAAGGGTTTGCGTGTATGAGGACATTGAGTACGTACCTATTAAGTTATTTCGAAAAGTTTTTTTCGGTAGATTAATTACTAAGAATTGGACTATAAAAAATAATTTATGCATAATGTATGAGTATATTTTTATTTTATTTATGTACACACATAGAACAGAAAGGACAACACATATAAAACTAAAGTGCAAAGGTACCACTTTGATTTTCCCACCTTACAAAAAAGGTACTTACCATCTATTGGAATTTCTTCCTGTGGATCTGTGCCAGGAAAAGTAATGATGATATAAGACACAGTGTGTCACACAATTAGAAAAGTGACATAGAAAACAGACTTAAAACTTTTAGTTGTTATAATTTAGTTTTCATCTCGAAAGAATTGATTTAAATGCCGATTCGGTTTGATTTGTGACCTTGTGGCATTAGCAAGGTCACGGTCACCACGTGTTAGTTGTATGATAACGTAGTTTACTAAACTATACGATTATTTATTTAATTCTATGGAATTTGTGTGTAAAAGTAGTTTATATTCCTTTGAAGCATCCCTCGTTTATGTAGTCTTAAATCTGATAAACACAATTAGATAAATACGGTACTTAGTTGTAGCTAAAATTAATTAACTTTTTATACTGAAAAAGTCCTTTGGAATCTAAACCATATTGTACAGAACATAGTGCCGGTTAAGTCCATAAAGTAGTAGATAAAAAATTACATCCACTTTTCGCCAGTTTTAAGTCTCATTTTAGTTGTGCCATACTCGACTTCTTTTTGGGGGAAAATCCTTATGTTAGTCTCATCTGAAGACAAAATGACTTCTACTGACTAAAAACCTACCCCATCATAATAAACAATATGTCCAAAAACAAATAAGTTCTTTACTAGCATTAACTTTAACTCTGTATTCTCTTTGCAGTGACTTCGAACAACAACTCTCTCCATTCTTGATACAAAACTCGTGCGATGAGGATGCAGGAACATCCCCCGTTGGCCTGGAGCCGACCAGCCCCGGCAATGTCCAGGATGTCATCATCCAGGACACCAGTGATGTCTCCAATTCCTCAACCGAAGTCGTCGATGACACATTCGATATGTTGAACTTTGAACAAAACATTGTTCCTGGATTCCTCAACAAAAATACATTCCAAAGTCCTGGTGAGTTCTTTTTTCATTTTCTTTTTCTGTAGCCTGCTTTTATAGTTCTCTGCATATATCCTTTTTGGCCGGCTAATTTGATTTTAACATAGAATAATTTTAGCCTAACGGGTGACATTGAATTCTGTATATTTTCTTTTGTACTTATTTATAACAATATATGCCTGCTTTGATATACTCTTTTGTTTTAATATAATAGCTTCAGAACTTCAAATATTTGTGTATTTATACGCCACGGGGAGCAACACGTGAAAACACAATAATTTATTACTTTATGAAGCCTTCAACTGGCACCGTAGCTAACGTATATAGGCATTTAATATCACCGTAGCATATCGATGGAAATACGTCAATTCTTCACGCAGTCTCAAAGTCAACGAAAGGACTTTATGGGCAATTGATACAAACTAGATTTGCACCTAGACTTAGTCTAGCACACTATCTACACGCGTATGATATCTATAAATAAATATAGGTAGGATATACAAGTTTGTTGCGTAGATACCCAGTATCAAACGTACTCTTATGTAAATATCTAGTCACACGTGGCCCCCAACTTCTCGCAAATAACACGAACATTATACAAGCACTAGGCTCTCTTATCTAAGACTTGGCATCAAGCTACTTGTATTATTTTATAACGATATACCTATAACACATTATCTTCTTTTCGTTTATCGAATTTCAATTCCGACCTTCAAATATTCTGTTCTCCAATTTTCAAGACACTTGAGCAAATATATTAATGTCAAAAAGAATTTATACGTAATTGTATCAGACTGGAAATATAATAGATATTCCATTGAAATTCTTTTGGCATTCGATATATTACTTAGAACAAATGGTCAATGTCCCCTACACAATGCATGCTACTAATATTAAGAATAGTTCGTACTGCGCATGTAGTCATATTAACGACGCATTTATCTTAATTGTAAGCACTTTATTTATTATGCATGCTAGCACGATTTATTATACTTATATTTTCATTGGGAAATGGACAGTATTATTTTGCTTTTTTTGACCCAATGAGTAACAAATCCCAATGTATCAGGTAAAGGCAACAGAAAGCGGCGTCTCTCTCAAACCCCACAAGTAGCGGTACAACCAAAAGTCCAGAAGCCCACGATCAGAATCCCGGCAAGTTCGACCACCACGCCGAAACCCCAGTTGGTGGTGAAGGCACAGCCCCAAAAGCCGGTTAAAGTGGCTAACATCCAAGTATTGAACCCCCAAACTAAGGTGTACTCCAAGCCCGTTGAAAGCGTAGCCCCGCAAAGACGAGTGATCCGCGTTGCTCCAATGGCCGGCAACCCTCGTTCTATTCTCCTTCCAGTTACGATAAAAGACATGAAAGACCTGAAGTCTATCAAGATCATCAATGCTGCGGACTTGAAGAACGCTTCCAATATCAAACTGGCTGCCGCTAATCTTTTATCTCAGAGCAAATTGCACGACTTGAAGGTCGAGGCCCGCGACTATGACTACGAACACAATGGAAACAACTGCGGTGAGAAATGTTTCTTTATAATATTAGTAGTAGCTTTTCTATTATGCATTGTGGTACGAAGACTTGCTCAAATAGTCTAGACTTTCGGGAGACTTAAACCAAAAACATTGACAAATTCGGTTGATCACTGTCAACCATTCTAACATCTAAATAATTTTACATATCCAGTATTCAGTCATGAAAAATAGGATAGAATTCACACATGTCGAAATCCGAGTGCCTATTAATATCTATAGTCAGAATTTTAATTAGATTCCAGATTTGACAATAGCTACTGTCATTTTGTGAAATAATGATACCACATATAATTGTGTAGTGATGCACACAAAACTCGATAAACAATCAGTGTGTGTGTTTTATAATAAATGTTACAGAAAGTGACAGGATAGCGATAGCGATGACGGCGACAATTTATAAAATAACTTATTACCCTAATACATCTATCTGTTTTATTTGTCATGTTCCTTCATGATTACATTTTTTTATTTATTTCACACACAATTATAAATGAAACGTCTCAGATCGTTAATTAATCGTCAAAACTAAATTATCGGTTCAGAAATATTTAATTTCCTGATATACTTAGTTCACGAGAGTAAAATTATAATTATTATAAACGAGAAGAATCGATCCAGAAATATTGCATTTCCATATCGAATAATTTCGCAACGTCACTATTTAGTACTTGTCATAACGTTGCCACACTGAAATTGTCAAATCTGGAATCGAATTAAAATTCCGAGTATAGTTCTAATATTCAATCGACGGGCTCGTTATGGCTGATTGGTATCAATTGTTGGTACACGGAGTGACATAACATAGTGAACCGGCTAAACTGGTCACTGGACTCGTTAAATATTTACTTTCTTTCATGTCTACTGTTGAAAATATATCCCAAACGAAAGTTTCAAATGTCACGAGTCTTGATTGACTGATTGGTATTTAAATATAGATTGTAAGACTTGGATCAATTTTAATATTGGACTCTAGTTTATTTAGTGGTTGTTAGGTACCTGAAAGGTAACGGTAAATGCCATAAGGTTTAAATTTCCATACATTTCTCTAAAATTATGATGATACAATCTCCTTTTTCTTGTCCCCTATCTCAAGTTGTTTGAGGTCAGCGCGATAAATAGAACATAATAATTATATGTGTAATAGCAAAAAGTTCCAATTCCTATCAAAAAAATTGGCCAAAAGGTCTTTCTTCATCAAACATGAAAAGTAATATGAATACGACATTTTTGTTGATTACTTTAGGGAATAATATATTGATGAAATTCAATAAGTCGTACGTTAATTCTCGGGAGGGCAACACAATTTTGTATCGAGGTCAAGGCTAGCCAAATAAGATCCATTCATGTAAACCCGTCATTATGCTCCATTCACCCAGAAATTATACCTTTTTAATATCGATTGGATTTTGTTGGCATATTGTATGACTGCTCTTTGCCTTTTAAGCAAAACGTTACTGTAAGTCCATCACTTGATATGGCCTATAATTGCAATAACGGAAAATGAGGTCATATTTGATTTAAAGCACCTTATAAAACCTACTTACTAATTGCCACTCTCTTAAGAGCTGAAGGAAAAACCACTTGTACAAGCTTAAAGAGTATTTTAATGGGTCTACCTTTTCCTTATGACAACTCTTTACTATTTATAGTATGACCTACCAAGCCAATTTGCACCTAAACACCTTCTTCATAAAGATTTTTGTCCTGTCATAAACAAATCTAACTTTATTGTCCCATCCAGATGACTCAGGTAGTGAACGTAGTGACGACGACGATGACCACAAGGACGCTGTGCCAGACGGAAAGAACGGATACCCCCGTCTCGTTCTAACAGCCGAGGAGCGACGATTGTTGGCGAAGGAGGGCATCACACTACCCACAAGCTATCCTCTAACTAAACATGAAGAGAGGGAATTGAAAAGGATTCGGCGTAAAATCAGAAATAAGATCTCAGCGCAAGATTCCCGTAAGAGAAAGAAGGAGTACGTTGACGGGCTTGAAGACAGGTAAATAATTAATACTATTCCTTTTTCATTATCCTTGAACACACCCAAGCTACTATATTCAGAAATTAAATCAAAACTGTCTAATGTAACAACAGTCTTTTGATTGATATAGAAAATAATGCAAGAAAAAAAATACCATTTCTACCAATTTTGGTAGGTTTTGATACATTAGAATTACGTTTTTTTGTTTTAGATTAAAGTATCAGATAGTCGAATTAGGAAGTAGGTTTGTGAATATTAAGGAAATCATCTTACTGAAAGTTAGCACCATGCATATTACTGCATACTTTAGTTTCATACAAGTAAAAGTTTGATCAAAAGCGAGTTTAAAAACAATATAATATATCAAGCTTCCAAGTCATTAGAAAATGTTATGAACATAATTACCAACCAATAACGACTCAATTTCACTCATGAAGTAATATGCGACACACGCTATTCTAGCGAAGGTGAATTTGTTAAAAGACATGCGATTATGCACCTTTTTATAATTATTCGTGAAAACTTAACACTTTTAACAACTGATTTATTCAGTAATAAATTATTGGATAACAGCCTATAAAACTGCTGAGCAAAGCCCTTTTCTCACCCGGAGAAGGTTTGACCATTAATTAACCACCACGCTTGCTCAATGCGGGTTGGCGATTTCAAACTTATAATTAGAAATTATAAGCCCAGGTTTTCTCACGAGGTTTTCCTTAACCATAGTATAAAGAACACAGTAGGTTATCTAAGGCCGCCCGCCGAGTTATTAGCCTACTCTTGCGTTGATCCCCAGGGTTGTCACTTTTACTTTTAGTTAATATTTTCGAACAAGCAGCACTTGATCTAAATTTATGAAATGAAAAGCATATTATACTTAATTGAATATTTTATCAATTTATAAATTTAGTAAAAATAAAAAGCTTATAAAAAGATTATTAACTTCTTAAAATAAACTTTAGCTCTATACATAGTAGTCAGAAAGTAAATTTTGGAATACATTTATATGGAAAAATGCGACTCGGCTACGCTCTTAACAAATCAGATAAACTGTGAAATAAACAATACAATACCACATTTTCTTATAATATTTAAGTATAGTAGGTAATTACATTTCTGGTTGAGTAGGAACTATGAAGAATGATAAGAGTAAGAATAAGTAAGTAGGTATCTCATCATCAAGTACCTACCTACAAATTATATTATGCTAGAAAAAGTGACTAGCTTACCTTTTCTGTTCAATAGGTAATCTGAACAGAGACAGTTCTGGAATCGATTAATTATTAAGACACCCAAACACACAGCAATACGTTCTTCTACGGTTATCAGACATTTTTTATTTCATTTAACAGTGCCGAAAAGTGATGCGCGCGCGAACCTCGTGCAGTGTTAGCCCTGCCTGGCGCACTGAGAAACGGGTCGAGATTTTGTTAAAGTGTGCGTGCGTCGACGCATAGATACTATGGCGCACACATATAAGCCGCGCGCGGAGCATTTGTATGAAGATAACCTACTTTGTTCTTTATACTATGCCTTAACCGTTTGTCAGTGGTGTCTGAATAATCTTAGAAAGTACATATAACTCAAGAAAAGTCACATTGGTAATTGCCGTTGGTAGGTTTCGAATCTGCACGGTGATACATGAGAAGCTGGTGTCTTAAACATCGGGCCACCACGACCACTTTCTAAATGATATGATGTAATAAACAAATCATTTATGTAGGTTATATTAAATTTTTGTCAACTTTCAGGCACAAAATTTTCTGAACACTGTATATAATTCAGCTGTCCTTGAATTAAAATAAATTAAAAATATGTTTATTGACAAAATCCTTCACGTTACATAATTATTTTGTATGGCTCTTGCTGGTCCCCGCAGTAGGATTCCCTGTGTCGTGAGGCCCAGTCTTTTTCAGTCAGCAAAACATTATAATACTAAAGAAAAACAAAATGACAAAAAAAATCATTCAATTAAATTTATTTTAAATATTTCTAGTCTGCTTTTTCCAATTTAAATTGATAATATTATTTTTCTTACTTGCCAATTCTTGAATAGTTTATTTTAATATTCCGATATGTAACATAATTTAGAATTTTAGATTTATTACCCACGAAGAGAGATCCGTTGTTTTTTTTGTTTTGCAAAAGTGTTAATGTCAATGAGATAGATTCTCTGATTCCATAGTTAAATACCATTAAGCCTCTTTACTGTAGAAGGTGTTCAGTAGGCGTTCAAACTCACATTTTGTTATGACTGACCTTTTTTGCATTATCTATATTGTTTTAGAGTCTATGTGTCAAGTTACATAAAAAGTTCCTTGAAATAAACTGTAACGTATCATCATTTATTTTATTTATTCAAACTTTATTGCACATACAGTGTGAAATTGGCGCAGGCATGCTCTGACAGTCGACCATTGGGTGATGCAGATTGTTAAAGCGATAGGTGCAAAATTATAGTAAAGATTTAGTCTTGATTTATAATATATTTTCTTTATTTATTTTATTTATCTCAACTTAATACAACAATTGTGTACAGGTACAGATACAACAACCTTTAATTCGTGGAGTACCGTATTACATTGTACATGTAGTACATTGGTATAACGTGCTCCTCTGCCTACCCCTTCGGGGATAAAAGACGTGATGTTATGTTATGTTGTGTTATGTGTTATAATTCAACTTTTACAATGCATTGTTTTTCTAGGCGACCTAGTCGAAACAGCAAACAAAACAATCTATATAAATTCGACACAATTTAAAGTACGGATTTTACTACAACATTTGCTACATTTAAGTTGCTTACTTCATAGGATATTTCCTAAAAACCAACAATAGCAGAAATTACTTGTCATTAAAAGACAATGCATTCAATCATTTTTACAAAGACAATACTTACAATTCTAAATCCAATTACACACAACCTTCTTGAACATAAAGACAGTTAGACACTACCGTAATTACAATTTTATTACGTAATTTTAAGGTTGGAAATCAAATGAAAATATTTTACTGAAGATTACCTTGATGGGCCCAACATAGATGTTATTGTAATTACAACTTTAGAACAAAGCGCTAGGGTTGAAAACAAATAGATTCGCCTTTGACAATACTACCTCGATAATGCGACTGTCTTTCAAGACTATATGTATATTGAATCGTTTGTAAAGAAGCATTAAGGTTAAAAATCAAACAGATTGTAGTCCTATATGACTTTGAGAATCATAAGAAAAATGCTCCAAGCTGCTTTCTCTTTTATAAAATCTATTATTAATGTTTTGTTTTTATTTTGACTGTATTTGTTTTATTTCTATTGTAATGATCCTTGTTTTCGTGTGCCAATGGCCAAATAAATGCATTTTCTTTCTTTCTCCAAATGTCACGTGTGCACCCGTTGGATCATAAGGAACGCGGACGGAAGGAAATACCTATACAATAATTATATTATTTTGATTTGTTTCAGAGTGAAACAGTGTACGGCGGAAAACCAGACGCTTATTAGGAGGATAAAGATTCTTCAGTCACAGAATCAGTCCCTTTCAGCGCAACTGAAGAGGTTACAGGTAAATACCGTTATTTATTACTGGACGAAGGTCGAGCATAGTATTATTGTCATTTTGTAACATTACAAGCTGGTTTTAAAGATGACGTCGTTGGTCGAGAGGTCACAATTGTGCTACTGCTAAACTAGGGGTATCGGGTTCGTCTCCTGGGCCATACAAAGTATTATAATTCTATTCATCAACAACCTATAAGTGGGTCACACGGATAAGGGTTGAGCATTCATAACCACGCTTGCTCTACGCGGGTTGGCGATTTCAAACTTATAATTGAAATTAAAAGCCCAGGTGTCCTCACGGTGTTTTCCTTCACCTTGATATATATAGGAGTTGTCAGAAAATGTCACAATGGTACTTGCCGTTAGTAGGTTTCGAACCCGCACTCCCATGCACGAGTAGCGGGCGTCTTGAACCACCGGGCCACTACGACATAAATCTATTTATGGGGCTCATAACAACTGGTGAAAAATGTTTAACGGCTATTCTGTAACTGTTTGCCCAGGAACTGGACTAGTTTCAAGCCACACTGAGGACTCATATTCATGAGTGTATTTGTAAATGTCTACCTCTACCTTACCTTTTGTGGAATAAAGCGACTTGACGTCATGTTATGTAAAATTCATCTGGCAACTGAACTTTAAATCCTAATCGTAGCAATTTCACTTTCTACAATCAAACCTACGACATGGTCCTAACAATGGCAGTATTAACATTTCTAATCGCTCACAATAGGTATTGTATAACAAATACGAAAGTACTGTGATTTATCAAACCATTGACAAGTAGAATCTTGCTCCAGTGCAATATACATGATGATTGGGGTCAACCCAAACTGGTTTTTGTCTTGAACGAACTTAGTGTTGCTAATTTTTTGTCTATTTCTAATTGTAATAGTTTGATAAAACCGTTAGAAGTTTCGATTCATTGATTTAGATGCAGTTTAGATTAAAGAGTATTTACTGAACCAAGTTTTTTAAAATGAAGTATCTTATTTGCTAAAGCAGTAAATATCTAATAGTCATCTAAAAATGTCCTGTATTATGGGGTCGATATAAAATCTCTTTTACTTTACTTCCTTACTATTAACTCCAAAATCGAATAATTCAACCAACTTATACCATGTATAAATATACACAAAATTATATGGTACTAGCGACCCGCCCCGGCTTCACACGGGTGCAATTGTATGAATCCTAACTAATATTATAAATGCGAAAGTAACTCTGTCTGTCTGTCTGTCTGCTACTCTTTCACGCCAAAACTACTGAACGGATTTTAATGAAATTTGGTATACAGATATTCTAGACCCCGAGATAAAACATAGGCTACTTTTTATCGCGAAAAAGGGGTTGTAAGGGGTTAAAAAGGGGGGGGAGTTGTATGGGATTTCATAATTTTTAAAGATAAAACCATGAAACTTTATATTTAAGCTCTTGATAAAAAATAATAAAACATTTGTTCTAGCGTTTTTGAAATTTCGACTCACTATGTCGATTTTTAAGAATAATTATTACGATTTATCTGAAAACCTGAAAATGGATATCTGACAGGTAACATTACTATGGTAACCAACCTGATGATTTGTAATTGTTATGGCGTCCTACTTCCATAATATATTTTGGCATCAACATATAAAAATGAAGTTCTGTGGGTTTTCAAGGAATAATATTAGTATTCAGCTGCATCAGGGATCAGGGATTTTAAAGACAAAATACGAATTCAATTGACTGAATACAATTTATTCATAGACTAGCCTCTGTCTGCGGCTTCTTCGCGTTCTTTTAATGGGGTGAGGGAAGGATTTACAATAAAAAAATGAAATGATGCACGATTCTATGCTGGTCACAAATAACCCGCATACCAATTGTTAGCTTTCCACATTGAAAATTGCAAAATACCCCATACAAACTTTCACCTCTGTTTCACGGAAGTGGAAGGGGGTTAGAAAAAGACAAAAAGTAGCCTATGATACTCTCCATCTTTTCAACTATCTCAAATCAAAAACCTTCCTGACTCCGTTCTGTCGTGAAATACGGACAAACAAACAAACAAGCACATACAAATTTATATTATTAGTATACATTTCTTAAGTCATCTGACATTTGTGTGACAAGTGAGTTTACAAAGTCAATGTGTCATAGATTTTTTTTATACTATGGTATTAATATTAAGGTATGCAAAGAGGTTGACAGCAGTCTAAGGAGATAAAACCACGAATAAAATATTTTCAGTTTACTTGAATTCGTATTTTTTATATGTATATCAAAAAAACTAGCTAAATGCACATAGCTAAAAAATTAGTCCTTTTCATTTTAGACCGTCAAGGCCAAATTCACTATGATAGTTTGCTGTTTGTTTATGGCATAAGCCGGTAAACGAGCAGACGGATCACCTGATGGTAAGCAATCTGCGCCGCCCATGGACACCTGTAACACCAGAAGTGCTAGAAGTGCGTTACCGGTCTTTTGGGAATTGGTAATTTGAGGATTGTCAGGGATTGGGGGGCTGGGGGAGGGGTAATTGGGCCTCCGGTAACCTCACTTACACAGCGAAACACTCCTTTAGGTAACCGAGGGCTGGGCTCGCTGTCATTGCAGCGGAAAGTCCCCTCTTTAAAAGTGGCTTTAGAGAGGCCATCAATGCAAGGACCGCCCGGAGAACACGGTGGAGCATACCGTGGCGGTGTACCTTGCATGGGCTGAGCACCGCCGTGTTCTCAGGGATGTAGGAAACGGTGACCTCTCGCGTTCGGCTCTGGTTCAGGCCATGGAGCGAGGGGGATTGGGATGCAGTCGCATCCTTCTGCGAAGCAGTTATGCTTGCCAAGGAGAAAGCGGAGCGTGAGGGAATGAACTTCCTCACGCCCCAGCCGTCGCGGGAGACACTCTGGGCGTCGGAGATCGGCCGGCCACCGGCCACCGTAAGTGCGGGTCTGTAGACGAAGAGCAAGGGTAGCTCGCCACCCGACCAGAACCAGTCCCGTGCATACGGCGCGCGCCTTACAGAGCCATGACACCATCATAGATGGAGCCCAGTAGGGCTGATGCTCGATACGGTGCCGCGGGAGGCCTAACGAGTTGACGGGGCTCCGGCTCGACGAGCAGGAGTAGGAACGGAGTGGATTTTAGTCAGTAAGAATCTGTCACTCCCTCTCACCTAACCCAAGGCGGGAGAAGTGATTGGATGATTTTCCGACCTCAAAAAAAATCTCCTTTAGGTAATGACAACCCGATGTGTGAAAAACTACCAAAAAAACTCCTTATATTATTGGTATTGATTACGCTGTGGAAATTATGGACAATAGAGCCAAGGGATGTATTAAGTCTTATAGAGGACATTAATATCAACATTAAAGTACATGTATCATATGTAACTAACCTAATATCAGAATACCTATTTTTTCATTTAAATGTTTGCGATAGTAACGCACGTCGCACCGGTACATATCAGGTCACATTATAGGAGAGAGGAAATCCCAAAATGACAGAAACTATGCGCTAAAAAACCAGGACCAAGGACGTTGAAATAAAGAGGGGCTCTTACTTACCTTTTAAACCATTGAACCTATTTGGTGAAATTCGGTACAGCGATAGTTTGAGACCCGGGAAAGGACATCTAAAAGTTTTTAACCCGAAAAACCCACGAAACCGGGAACTGTGCTGTTAAAATCACTATATCTATTTGATTGAAATGCGATACAACATTGATTTGCAAACATAGAATAGTGAAACCTCACGAGACGGGCACTGTACGGGTAAAACCTCTATAGGATTGTATAATTTAGAAACCACGAAAATAAATTCATTTCTCAATAAATATAACCTAGGTACTGAATCGATTGTGATGATATTTGTTCCAGTTGTACAGCCGTAGAATATAACTTGACAAAGACTAATTTGAAAAACCCAATTTATACAGAAGTCGTTATTTCACGCGGACGAAGTCGCGGGTAACAGCTAGTTATACATATAAAACTTCCTCAAGAACCTATTAAAAAAACCGCATCAAAATCCGTTGCATAGTTTTAAAGATCCAAGCATACATAGGGACAGACAGACGGCGGATAGCGACTTTGTTTTATACTATGTAGTGATATATAGGTCAGTTACGGTATATTATCGCTGCTATTATTGAAAAATATACAACTATTGTTGTTTATACATTCCTACTAATTGTTACCCAATAACAAATATAATTAGCTGTGGCTAAACTAAGTTGTTTGTTGCACTTATTTGCAATTATGTTCGTTTGTCAATGAGGAAAATATGTGTATTAACTATTTAGTTGAATATTGCTTTATTTAGTCCTCCAAGTTTGTATAATTTTATAACATTCAAATTTAGGTATACAGAGCTTTACGATTAATTAAATTGTAATTTATTTATTTTTGCAATTTAGTTAACTGATAGTATAACTTAACGTCACACTTTTAAATACTGAAAAGATAATTAAAGGTGTACATTACCCACATTCAGTCCTTTAATTTTTCTAACACTAAGATCATGTTGATTTTCTCTAAGGCAGATTTTGGTCCATAGGGACATAACATAACACAATATCACGCCTTTTTATCCCAAAAGGGGTAGGCAGAGGTGCACATTACGGCACTCAATGCCACCATTACGGCACTCAATGCCACTGCACAACGTAACACCCACTTTTCACTATTTATGTTATGAGTCCCATCTCATGTAATAGGGGCTAAGCCTATTGCCATAAACTGGGTACAATTCCAGACTCCGTGCTACTACTGAGATTTTTTAAAAACCCAGAAAAATTTGCCCGTCTCGGGAATCGAACACGAGACCCCTTGCCCGGCAATCGCACTTACGACCACTCGACCAACGAGGCAGTCTGAACATAGGAACAATATACGTTTAAATCATACAAGTATTATGCCTAAACTTTATCGTAACATCTCATTAACAAAATCCTTTCTATCTTTTACAGAACGTCCTAACAGGCGTCACAGGTGGCTCCACAAATAAGTCAGCGCAACCAGCTACCTGCCTCCTAGTGTTGTTGCTCTCAGTAGCCCTGGTGGCTTTACCGTCAATGCGCGAGGAGATCAGGCCCAGAGCATCTGACACGCCCGCCACCTCGCCCGCCGTCACACGAGCGCTTCTCTCAGCTTCAAGTAAGTAGAACTTAGTAAACTATTCAGAATGTTAGTCAGATAAATAAAGGCCATGTTTAAAGTTAGCCAGGATATTATTGTATGTAGTTACATTCCTAATAGTATTACGCATCGTATTCGCATCACGTTAATTATAACGTTGAATTTGGTTTAAACTCCACAACCTAAGTCCTTAGTAAAATTTGGGTACAGCAACAAGTGGACGTGGCATGCGTGTTATTAAAGTCTAGGTATAATACAATCAACAGCCTTCAATTGAACCTAGAAGGAAGGTTGTAAACGATCCATGTGTATTTTATTTAGTACTAGCTTCTACCCGCGACTTCGTACGCGTACCATCCCATTTTTTCCCGTCCCCGTTCGTGATTTTCGGAAAAAAGTAAAAAAAAAAAATTGGTTAAAAAGTATCCTATGTCGGTCTCCTGGCTCTAAGCTACCTCCCTACCAATTTTCAGCCAAATCTATTTTGCCATTCTTGAGTTATAAGTGGTGTAACTAACACGACTTTCTTTTATATATAGATTAATATCAATTAAATCTGATCAAGAAAGTCTCATAATCAACTAAACGTAGTTAACAAAAGGTCAACAAAATGTCTTACTCGTACAATAATAAGAAATAGCTGACACATTCAATTTGATACGACAACAAACTTTCTAAGTACACGCTTGTGGCAACGTGAAATCTTATCAATGTACTTCTCGGACTAACCCGAGCGATAGATCGGTCGTGAACTTTGTTTTGTGTAGATACCACATTCATCGTTACGTAATTATAAATTTAGTTTTTATTTAACTTGTTACTACTGAACTGGATACACAATAATCTAATATAAGACAATATCTGTGAAAATGTTCTTTAGTCTTTAGTTTTAGCGCCATTTATTGAGGCTTAATGGTCCAGTTTTAACCGGATTCAACTGAACGTACTTTTTACGTGGAATCATGTAACGCTTAGAAGTGTTGCGTAGTTTCTTAAGACATTTTCCAATGATAGACGTTTAGTATAATAATACAATGCACATAGGAGTTGTCAAGTTTGAATATGAATCATGTCCGTTCTTATTTTTTTAGTTTTACTCAAGCCTTTGCTCTGTAGTGGCACGATCATGGCTGAAAATAAAATAAATACTCAAAGCCAACAATCACTTCTTGCGCGTAACATGTATAAATAATAGCCTAATAGCATCCTTATAAATAATCTTTTAACTTTTCAAATAAAAATTGTGATAATCATTATCAATGAGTAATAAACACGGATATATTATAAGACTTCGTGACTGTCGTCAACTACACTATCAAAAGTTATGTAAATTGAATAAACATTTTGTCTTCAATTTAAAGTTTTTACGTAAATGATGTTCGTTATGGACGAATTCACGGGTCGACTTTCTTATTGCAGTTTCGAAAGCCATGGATAATTGCTTGCACTAGTTTCGAGTTTCAATACAATATTTATGTAACACAATGCATTTTTGAAAGCAAGCAAAAACTGGTTCAAGTTTTTACATGGAATAAATCGATTACACTTCCTTTATTGAATGTGGCAAAAAGTATGTAATATAGTGATGTTTTAACACAAAATATAGGTAGACACTTCCTGCTGTGATTCCGTATAATAGAGCCTTTAGAAATTGTCAATTTGTACAATACATAATAAGGAATTATTTATTTTACCTAGGTAAATAGCTTCATTGTCTTTCACCAATTTTTATTTACAAAGCACATGATTAATGTTCTCATGTTTCTCCACAGAAATGGCGCTCGATGAGACAGTCATAGATGACGGGGAGTTCAACATGGATGAACTGATCACGTTCAACCGCCCACACTCTGACCACGACTACCAGGTCGTGAAGAACACGGAGACGCACAAGGTGCTCGCCGGAGGCTACGTGGACTTGCCCATCGATGAGGACTGGCCCCCCAATCTCAAGAAACGCATGAAAAAACAGGACCTCGATTACAACGACGGAGAATACATGCCACCTATCGTCAAGGAAGAGAACTACGGACACTATTACAAGATAGATACGAAGTTTAAAACTGAAGACGATACTGACCTGAACATTAACGACAACAAAGGCTTCCTCACCAATACACTGATATCCACGGGCCGCAAGCTCGGAGAACTCCTCGACCTGCTCCCTCCCGGACCTGTTAAGACCGACGACCTCGTCATCGAGGAGATCTCAGACTACGAGTCCAGGAATACCACTGACGTCAAAAGCTTCGTAGTCAACGGCACCCTGAGCGACTTCTAGATAATCAGATTCTATATTTTTATTTCTTTATTATTCCTTGTTATTTCCTTTCAGATAACTATTTTACTATTATTTTACACAGAAATGTATTTTTACTATTATAGTTTGAATGAAATTATTCCTCGAGAGTAGTTGGTCCGGTATTTGAATGTGTGCGTTTATTTAGTTATGGTCGTGATGCGCTGACTCGCTGCAGGAGTCATGTCGACTACACTTGGAATTAATTAGCATCTAGTTATACATAATAATTATGTTTATGATAGTGAGAACGCTATGGATTTTATTTAGTTTTAAGTATTATTCAAACGTAAAGTACCTACGAGAAAAGTTTTTGGGAATGAAAGTTGTTGAATATTTATTTGAGAAATCAAAATTAATATATTATTAAATCAAGTTATATTTTTATTTACGAATCAGAAAGTTAGGGAGTTTAGTATAAGTTATTTACTAAGCATTTTCTGTTATTACTTGGTGCAATTATATTAGTAACTGAATTATCAGTTTTTAGCTAGAATTTGATTTTAAGTACTTCATTTTGCATTAGATTTAGCTCGTTTTACCTACTTACCATATAAGCGTTTAAACAAATGAACTACAATGATGAATTATCTGGTTCGAATAAATTGTGTAAGAAATTCGTTTTTCAATTTCATCCTTTTCCCCCATTTGTTAAAATTACACTAAAAATGATAGAAAAGAAAATATTTAAATTAGCTTCTTTGTGTTTGTGACCAAGTGGTCGCAAGTGCGACTGCCGGGCAAGGGGTCTCGGGTTCGATTCCCGGGTCGGGCAAAGTATTACTGGGTTTTTAAAAAATCGCAATAGTAGCACGGAGTCTGGAATTGTGCCCGGTACATGGCAATAGGCTCACCCCCTATTACATGGGACTCATAACAAAAATAGTGAAAAGTGGGTGTTACATTGTACAGTGGCATAATGTGCACCTCTGTCTACTAATCCCACTTATAAAATGCAACGATCAAATGCGACAATTTGAGAAGTACCAGTACAACTCTTTTTTATTAAAACTTTGCCCCACATGCATTTTCATTTCTCTTCAAGTCAAGTCAAAATCATTTATTTCAATTAGACCAGGAAGGCATTTTTGAACGACAGCAAAGTGAAGCTATTTGCTCATTCCGAGGTGTAGATTCCTATGGAGAAGAACGAGCAAGAAACTCCATAGGTTACTCTTTTCCAATCAGGTTCACAATACAATTCTCCAGTTACACAATTTTATTGGTTCGATTGTGGGAGAACAATGTAACACCAAAATCCAGTCAATGAGATCAAATAAGAAGTTGACGGCGCCCGTTCACGAACATGACACGTAAACCAGCACCGCCCAACTCAACCATATTGCAGGGAATCTAACGATCCAATGCACGTGTCACCGCAAATGACATCTTCGAGTGAACATGACAGCTACAAGCTGACATAAATGCATTCTACTAGTCCAATTTAATATTAAGTTAATTACAGAGCTCTCACATATCACATTTACAATGATTATGCAAGTCAAACAATATACATTTTAGCAACTAGGCTGTAATATTTACATGTTTGAATTCATTGAAACATCAGTGTTTTTCGTTATTCTGTGGAACTGGACCAGCGTGCATCCAAGCATTTGATCCTATTTGTAATATTCTTGTCTACATAAAGTTTTTTTTTTATATAATTTAAACTTCGTTTCATTTAGGTGTTGTATATCGCTTGGTAGGTATCTTGTTATAACATTTAACACAGAATCCTATAAACGACTTACTTTTGTCAATCTCATAATTGGCTGACTTAATCTCTACTTATGTCTAGTGGTGTCTGTCCGACACTTTACCAAATAACTGTAGGTTTTCCTAGCATACAAGATGTTTTCATAGATAAATTGACATGGAACGGTCATAATGTTGATCTCCTCTGACCTCTCTCTGAGAGATTCGCAACGACCTAGGTTGTAGATAGCTCTGACGGCGCGCTTTTGTGAGATAAAGATAGACTGAATGTCAGCAGCGTGTCCCCCCAGCAGAATGCCATACGACATAATGCTATGAAAGTAACTGAAGTACACTAGTCTTACCGTGCCTATGTCGGTCAACTGTCGGATCTTCGAGACATCATAAGCTGTAGAGTTTAACCGTCCCGCTAAAGATGTAATATGAGGACCCCATTGCAGTTTGTCGTCTACAGTAATTTCCCTTCATAACAATACCTAAGAAGTTCGTTGTAATATTGTTGTAAAATTACCTACCGTTTTCTAAATCTCTTGTTGCTTTATTGCTACGTTGGTATATTTTCATTTTCTTATAAATTCAAATATCATTCGAGGTTATTCCGTTTCACTTATAAAGAAAATATTTCTGCCATGCCCATGTTCAGACCTATCAAGAATCGGGGTTGGCATGCTCCTGAACGAAAAGTCCCTAACAATAGATAATAAAAAGCTCTATCAAGATTTTTTTTAAAGATCTTGAACATAATTACCTACCTGTATTTGTTTTCTGGCCCAGTGGTGCCTTTGGTGCTTTCATTTTGCTTGAATACATATTTGCTTATTTAATTGTGTAGGCGTTTAGATATAGGCTATGCTATGGTTCAAAATCAATGATAAGCCAATCTGATGTTAGAATAAAAAGTTACTGATTAATAAAAAAAATATTTTATGAAAGAGTGCAACATAAATTTCTTGCAAGTAGATACATACATTGTTGAAAAAAAGTAGATACAAGTAGCGCCCGGTAACATTAAAAAAATCGTACAAATTATTTCTGACGTTTGATTAACGTTACTTAAGAAGGAAGTTTTATTATAAGAGAGGCCTATGTCCAGCAGTGGACGAAAACAGGCTGATGATGATGATGATGAAGAAGGAAGTTTTTGTTCAGCAGTGGATGTATTTCGCCTGAAGACGATGCATGCAGGTTGCTTCACGGCGCTCTATATCTCTCGTTTCATCCACACTTCTAGTAGAAAATAAAATAAAACTAATATCTTATAATAAGCTTTATTTAATTATGAATTAACAAATATTTTCGTAATTTCGAACAAGGTTTGTGACATTAACTGAATACATATCCCATATTTACCATCTTACAGAAAAATAAACACAGAATTGTTTCTATGAATATTATTTTTATTCTTTTATACTTACTTTTACATTCAATTCTGTTGGAAAAGCATGTATAATACATAAAGTTAATAACTACAATTCATATATCTTCCTCGTGCATCCACAAGCCGACTGAACATGACTTACTTAGTAAGCGAAGTTTTAAAATTAAATTAACTACACAAGTGATTATCCACGAGAGCTGAAGGGACGCTGCACGGATCGCGTCGCTGACACACCTACCTAAGTTTTGGGTGCAGCCTTCATAATAAATAATCATGTTATGTTTCATTTTTACATAGCAGAAATTTAAGTCGAAGTATGCAATAAAATAAATGTGCATATAACTTAGTTATTCAATATTCTCGAATACACTTTCGTCACGATAGTAGTTGTGAATGTTAGCAGTGACGGTCCACGCTTGACGACTCGACGTACCGTGATAATTAGACAATATTATACATACAATGCTCCCGAGAGAGGTACACTACACCGGCGCGCGGCGCGACCTTACATACTTCTCTTTACTCAACAATTAAGTTACTTAAAACATTCACTATACACACACGAAGAGCTCGTTCGTTCATCCAGATCACGCATCTCCACTTCGATTTTAATACCCAAACTAATTTGATTATTCTATCTAGCAAATAGAAAGTAACAATTAGGTACAATTATGGTATTAATCATGTATTAAGTTACAAGGTTTATTACACTCGATTATACTGCAATGGTTGTACGATAATATTAACGATCCATTTAACGAGAAGAATACTTCAATTTGTTTACAATAATTTATCAAAAACCATTATTTAAAGAATTGATTTAAAAATTTCCTTTTACATATCGACAATATTCGCATTAACTATACTCTTCTAAAAAATATGAAAACGACACAACAAGATGTTTATTTTTTTATGTTATAAAACACTTCAAACGTACTTAGCCAAATGAATAACTTCTAATGCATTGATTGGATACAATTTTGTGATGACTACATATCCGTGACTAATTCAAAATACCTTACGACGATGTCAGTAAGATCAGCGAACTGCCGCAACTTACTTTTGGTATAAAATATGTACCTATGTATATATCAGAACATACGATTACTTGAAAACAATTCGGTATACTGTTGAGACATCCGCTGATTATAATGACATCTACAATATCTTACTCCTACGCAAATCACGCTTGTCGAAACCTTGCCGCTTCCAGTCCAAGCAAAAATATACAAATGTTTTTTTAAAGCTGTACAATTTTTACACCATCATCTTAACGACCGCCTCGGTCGCGTGGCCACTAGATCTCGTGCCGTAGACATCGTATATAACATGTAACAAGTGATCGTCTGGTGGGTCCACGCAGGCGGCGGTAAGGACGCGCTACCCATGATCTCAGTCTCGTCGCATTCGACTCCTATAAATAGATGACCGCAGTGACAGTCGCGGCCGCCCTCTGTGCTCCACTACAACAAATGACTAAACACCTCGACTGTCCCGGAACTGACCAATACTTTGGAATGACTGCAGCGCGTCATCACCGATAACACTCCCACTGACTATTCATCCATTTATCAATTAGTCTATTCAAAAAATGATATACTTCGATCGAAGAACAACAATCAAACAAAAGTGAGTCGCATTAATACAAATTGACATGAGCCCAGAGCCACGTGTTTTGTACACAAGGTGAAATGTTTCATTCAGTCTTGTAGGAATATAGAAGCCAGTTCACTCGGGACTCGACGGGGTACACCGATTGAAACAAATTACGTTTTAACACTATTGTATTGATTCTCTATATAAATTATTGCACACTTAATAATAACATTTATCGAATTAACCAAACGTCAATATGGTCATGTTTGTCACAAAAGCATGTATTGAAAAAGTAAATTGTTACTTACATTGTATCTCTTATTTTAATAAATTTCTGGTTATCTCTTAAAAAACTATAATAATAGATATAAATAAAGATAGGAAATTATGTGGCGTCACTATAGGAACGGAGCCAATTTAAATATTATTATATTCGTTTCCATACAAATCGAACTTAGGTAAACAATGACTAAATAAAGTTATATCTAAAGTACTCATACAAGCAGTAGGTTGAATGAACCCCACTCAGGCACTACATGAGAAATGAGAGGCCCGCAGTCTTACGCTGCGGTAACATATAAATTAAACCTAGGAAGAAAGTATTGTACCCGGGGAGACAATCAGTTGAACACAGAATACTTCATCAATACACACAGTTGATCATCAAGCGCCGGCTCACTGGGCCGGAGTGCGCACCATTCAACCCACAGCGGACGACAGACGAAATTCATCAACACACAAACTTATTACAAAGTCACAATAGCGGCTGCCGACGAGACAGCCGCGGTACTAATTGAACGCAAACGTACAAAAATAATATTTCACTGCTTTATTTATACGGAACAAAGCGATATACAACTAGTCGGTAAGTAGTAGTTAAACTAGGGGTGTTGATGAATTATGAACGAACGACCTAATGTACAAATCTGTGGATTTGTTCGAACTATGAGCTGGAATGGACATCATCGATGCGAGTAGTGGCCATGAACATAATGCAAGCGATGTCGGTGAGGTAAAGTAAATCTCACGTCTCCACAGAGACAACATACAATTTACAAGTTTTGGTGACAATTAAACGTAATTCACTACGGACGGGAACACAAAAATTAAATATTTAGCCAACCGCACATGGCTTCACTTCAAACTTATTTATTGCTAATATTAAACGCCCGTGTCCATCTGCATCATCAGCTTTGAAACCTAACGTATTACAGTGGTAATGTGAGGTCCGCTTCGAAGCGACAACTATTAAATTGACATCAGTTTTAACAACCTGACCGAAGGCTCTCGACTGTCTTAGTTCGAAACTACGGGAAGAACGGAATATGAGAATTCAGCGATAGAGCAGCACAATGTCCACGTGTGAGGGACGCTGCCTGAGTGTAAGTATGATTTATCTAAGTTAAGAGTAACTAACACAGACTATCCATTTCCTAGTAATGTGGTATGACCGCGTCTAGTTCAACTCTGTTGACAAATACTATTTCTTACGCGATACTAATAGTAGTGACAACAGAAAATTGTAATGTTTTACTTCAATGCATCCGAGTATCTAAATGGAAGTGTCCTTTATTTATTAACAATTAACGCAATAAAGGTATAACTGGTACATACGGCTATAACGTTTTGTATAGTTACTATATTCTGAAATATATGATTCGCCAACCACTCAATACATTTTTATGCACCTTTGTTACGCGTAAGGTCAAAATGAAACTAAAACTTATGATAGCTTCGTATAATGAGTTAGCATTATGGATTACTCAAAATTACAAAATCTAAAATTATATTGAATAAAATTCTGATAATCGAGGATCGGGTAGCATACGATTGTTAAAATAATCGGCAATAAAATTTCATACATTTAAACTTTAACCCAGTTGCTCGATATACACTGGCTCGAGCTATAGTGCGGTGCAGATATATATTTACTTTACAACTAATAACAACGCATCAACTATCTCTCTTGATTCCTTACAACTCTTGTTAACAATTATACTAGATAACAAAAATATGTCGATCACCAAAAATGTTCTAGAATATTTTAACCGTCTTGACTGCACCGCACTATAGTTGGAGCCGACATTAACACGAGTCTTAATCTCAACACATAGGCTGTAGTAGCCTTCAGAAGATTTTGTTAAAGAGTTCAAGAAACTTATCTTAGTCTAGCGTGTTACTTACCGCGATATGAATACGCCCAGTGTTCCGGCCGACACGCTGGGGGTATTCTAGGCATTCAACGTAAGCGTATTTGGAAGTTAATTTTACTGTTACTTAAGTTCCGTACCATCAATAAACGGTCGTGAAATAAACGAGCTAGCGACAGTAGACTGATAGATAGATGTAAGTACATGTGTATAGTACGTATGGGGGGAGCAACTGGGGGTGCGGGCGGTGCGGGCGTGAGGGGGGAGCGAGGGGGATAGTGGGGGGCGAGGGGGGAAGGGGGGCGTCACGCGCACTCGCGTCACTTGCCGGCCCGCGCCGCGCACTTCTTCTTTTTGCGTTTGAAGAAACAACAGCATCTGGAATACACAGATTGTCTGCATGACGATTTACAGAGTCTGTCAGGTAACTAGCTGATATTAATGCACGTATACGCTGCGAAAGATACCATATTGTGCTTTTATACATTTTATCAATCTCTTTGTACTGGTTTATCTACATTTGTGTAGGGACATAAAACTGCGCCTTATTTCGACTAAACTCGAATTGGGGCAGGTCTATATAAATAGCAATGTACCCATCTGAAGACACAAGATAGAGTTACTATAAGCCATGCTTTAATTGTCTCGATGTTTCTTTTGAGACTGCATATTGTTCATATTAGTTAAATATTAAATTCTTCATGCTATATTTCGCAGCGTAGTGTATATGAGTGAGGATTTAATTGTGATAACAACACTTTACAACATCAAAAGTGGCATAATAAATGGGAAGTGCTTGCAAACATTGGGGACAAAGGTTCAAATGACATGGACAATGTATGACATTTCATCTCGATGACGATATGTTTGCAATTTATATGTATTTCGAATATTTTTGTATAAGCAAGCTTGATTCATATATTGTATTTATCATGTACGATTTTATATCCAATAAAGTCTCTTTGGAAGATTCATTGTAAAAAATTTCACATCCCTTATGAATGAATGATATAAATATTTTATTCCAACGAGAATCGAACTCGCTTTGTTATCCTAAGGCTATTTTAATTTTCTTTTATTGTACATGTTTGGGGGATGATGAGGGAGAAGAGGGATTCGAACCCCACACTCAAAAAACATTAAGCATTTTATTTACAATACCAATCATCCCTTGATATTTGTGCCAATATATCACATTTTATTACATCTAGGACCAGCCTCATAGTCTTTCATTAACAAAAAACCAAAAACAGAACTTTAGCATATAGTTTTGGCTTTATCAGTGACTATTTGACTATTCTATCATAGACTATGAAACTGGTTTAAAAAGCATGATGGGCAGTGCAATGAAAGGGACCAACCACCAGGCTTGTTTAACTAAAAATATGGTATAAAATAAAAATTAAAAGGAATGCATACAGTTGGAACACTGACTTGGTGTCGTCTACCACGTCCACCTCGTGGTGCGGCTGGGTGATTGGAGTGTTGCTATGGCCTGCGGTAGGGTCGTCTGCGCCAAGCTCGCCGTTCGTTGAACTCACCACCTGAAGGGCAACGGGTAGCGGTATTTTAGTTTTGGAATGTGAATTTGTCATAATATTTTGGGATAGTTTGTTGATTTAGGGTTTGGTATTGTTGTTTTGTGTTCTTATAAACATTATTAGAGGGGGTCACATATTGAAATGACATCAAAGATTTTATCTAGGGTTTGAAATCTCGATATTATGTAAACATGTGGTAGGCTCTAGACAGACGGACAGCATTTCAACTATAATACAGCCGCAAATTGCAGTTCGAATGCAGTTTGAATGTATTCGTGGCACGACTGCAATTAGGTTGTCTCCTAGGTTAAAAATAAATTGTTTCAACTTTTTAATGCAATAAATAATTAAAAAATAAGCACTCTCTTTTTTTGACAATTTATATACTTTTGGATTTTTTATCGCAAATTTTAAGAAAATAAGTTTGCTATTTGACACAGAAATATGATGACGTCATAAGTTGCGATCCAATACAAAATTCATAGAAAAGTATCGTTTTTGACATTTTAATAAAAGTATTGAATTTGACTACCTATCAACTACCGTATTGAAATGCAAAACAAACGTGCAGTCCGATTGCAGTTCTATTGCAGTAATGGCCAAACAGTCCGATTAGTTCTATTGTGTCAACTGCGTTCAAACAACTGCAATTAGCAATCGTTTTCAGTTGAAATGCGGTTCGTGCCTTTAGAGCCTTACACAAAATTGTTCAATTACTTTTTTAAAGAACATTAGTGTAAATGTAAGTCTACCTATTTAGACATTATCTACCACAATCATATAAATACAATATACAATTTTGAAAACATGTCCCACAACAATAAGCTTTCGTATCTACAATAGCCTGTAACTACCATGGATTTTCATCTAGTATGGTGTGGTGTGACCTGTCTAAATACTTAAACATTACCCAATTTAATTTATTAATGTTTTATGTGTGTATATATGTGGTGTGACTGCCTTGTTGGCCGAGTGTTCGCAAGTACGACAGCCCGGCAAAGGGCCTCGGGTTCGATCCCCGGGTCAGGCGAAGTATTTACTGGGTTTTTTTTTAAATCCCAGTAGGAACACGGAGTCTGGAATTGTGCCTGGTATATGGCAATAGGATTGCCCCCTATTACATTGGACTCATGAAATTAATAATAAAAATGGGTGTTGCAGTGGCATTAAGTGCTGTAATGTGCATTTCTGCCTTCAGGGAAAAAAGGTGTGATGTTATATCACATAACATAACATCACGCCTTTTGAAGTTGATTTAGTATGTCTCACGATAGTTGTTATAAAAGCTACGGATTTTTTCACATTTTGGTTAAGCAAGTTGTCAGATTTTTTGGACAGATGCCGCAATGAATGTTAATTGGGACAGAAGAATTAAAAATATTCTAGAATTTGGGTCGTGTTTAAGTATCCAGGTACCTACAGTTTGGTGTTTTAAGTGTCAGTAAAAATACATTTAATAAAAAACAGAAAATAATACGAAACTGAATATAAAAGCCGTCAACCTGTTAAGTATAATGTCAGTCGTTACCACTAAGTATTTTTATCAAAAGTGGTATTTGCTTTTGTCCTATATTTATTTAAAACTGACATTACACACGAGGTTGAATATTTACAACAACAAAGAAAAGAAATAAGCGTCAAAATTTAGTGAAAAAGAAAATTACTATGGCAAATAAATGCGTGCATTGTAATTTAAACCTTATTTATATTACATAGCGTCCTAATTAGAAGCTCAAATCGTGTACAGAATACTTTATGAATGAATATTGGCAGTGCTTGGTTCAAAGCTTCAACAGTTCGGCCAAACTACGTGTTTTAATATTAACCTGTTATTGTAAAAGAAGCTCTATTACACAAACACAATAAACCATTATTCATCAACTTCTATTTAATTCAAAATTTAGTTAGGTTGAAAAAAACAATAGTTAAAACTAGTTTTTTCATGAATCTGCTAGATTTGGTAATCGATAGCGATAATCGAGAACAAAGTCAATTCTCTATTTATATTTATTCAATAATAGAGAAACGTATGAGAACCAGAAAATGAAATGGTACATACTAAAATTATCATTGTACCTTCAATTAGGTACAAAAAAAAGATATAAGATAATATATGAAAACGTCTCCTAACACAAGCAATTCCTTGCTTAAAAAGAGATCTCTAATGTGTGCCCAATATCTATTGCAATTGAAATAAACTTCTATTTTAATAACAGGAAAATATCAAATTAGCGTAGCATAGGCCTCACTGGTAGCATTTCAAAGCGTCATGCAGACATTCACACAAGGATTGCCGCAAATATATTCAAAACTGACCGTGGATACCGATCCGGGAAATTTCACATACCGAAAATGCTTATTCTTCAATAGCTAAAAAATAAATACACCAATATACATTCACAATTCACGTATAAAATAATAAATAATGCGAAAATAATATTTTAAATAATAAAATAATGAAGGACATGCAGTGTGTTTGTGTCTTGTAATTGTCTACTTCATTAGGTTTGGTGAACTACATACTTTGTACTTTGGGTGGGTTTCTTACTGCTAAAAAGTGGGTGAATAGACTAAATACCATTTTAGGATATTGACCTTAACCTAGTATGTGATTATAAAATTTAATGGCTCGATATTTTTAAGTAAATCCCTTTCGCATAACAGGTACAGGTTTAATAACACTATTTCATAGTTCTTTTTTAAGGTTAGATTTTTTTTAAACATTTTATTCTCATAAAATATAATTAAAATGATACTTTAAATTTTTTTTAACCAATTTTGAATAAGAAATAATAACATTTCATTTCACTAAATATGATTAAGTAGAACTTCAAAACTTTTTAACCAATAAAAACAATGCAACGATTTGACAGCTAGACGAAAAAAAAGAAATGGCCGCCGTTGTGACAGTTATTTTTTTAAATCTGACCTGCACAGATCCATGTCTGTCTGCGGGCGTGAGATGGCCAGTATTAAGCGGCGTCGCCTTCCCGCTGTGTGGCCAGTTACCGCCCGTGTTCGCCGTACCACCTGTACCGAAATCCTTCGTCTTCGCCAGCGCTGCCATCTGGTGGACACGAGTCGAAATAATAGAATCCGTGTGGTAATGTATTACCGGTTGTAAAAAGTAACTGTTACATTTAAATATTATCGTACAGATATTTGAGATTAGACATTGCCAGTAATATCTTTTATTCTAAAATCCTGCGGTTTTATTCGGTTGAAACAATACGGGTTGGGTTCAGGATGTTTTAGACAGTGATAGCTCAGTTATCTGTTTAAAGTGTAATATTTTAACAAACATAAGTAATGATGTGAGTATATTTGTGAGAAAACTAAACCCTATTCCCTATATAGATAAGACACAATTTAGCACAATGTTGGAATTTACAAACAAACACATGGAGAGTCACAAGTTCCATACGGGGGAAGGTGAATGATTCCACTTCATTTTAGAGGCAAAACATATTCATTCCAGAGAATTCTACAAATGTAATGGTCAAGACATGACATATGAAACTATGGACAGTATTATAATTTTTAGTACATTTGCAAAACTTCCAGAAAAGGGGCATGATAAACATAAAACTCTTACTGTTGTCCTATAAAACCATTTCATTCGGTAGCATTCTTAAAACCACACAAAACACAATATTCTTTGTTAGAATAAACACTAGCGAACATCCCTAAAGCACTAAGCAACGGTAATGCCATGAATGGATATTGTTTCATTTCTACATCTACCTATAACTCGAGCTCATAGATATAATATTGTAACAAAAACTACTTCAAGGAAATATTGTCTTAAAAGGCATGACAAAAACACAGGAGGATGTAAAAATAAAACATTAGATGGAGTAACAGGGTCACATCAGTTTATCAGAGCACTAAACACGGATTTTGGTAATATTTTTGATGGAGAGTTTTGAGGCGAGCGAAGGGCAGCGGGTATTAAAAACAACGAGAGTGAAAGCGGGTCAAACCTCTCCGGATATTAGCGCCGCCTCATCGTCCTCAACCAAACCAATCATATAATCACACAAATCATCCTGCACCGACAAAAAAGCTGAATCAGTACGCGGAAAGAGCACTTCGCACACCAAAAAGTTATTGCATTAAGAAAAAAAAAGAAACCAAGATGGTGTCACGATTGGCGGGTTTTTTGACAGATTTTTTTTTTTTAATTTTCAGTTACTCTTATCTTCGATGGGGGCTTAAATAAAATATTATTTGAAAAATTATTATTAAAGACAAGTTCAAAATATATAAGTATAAAATACTTCTTACAATATAAGAAACAAAATTAAAATATATCAACAAAACTGATAGAAGTTAAATAATAAAATATTAGCATTCTGATGAGAGTGGTCCTAAACTATTGCCATGGTTCACCTATTTATTTGTTTTTTATTACAAGATGGAGGATGCGGAAATATAAACCTTATTTAGTTAATTTTAAGTATAAAATACGTGAAATAATTACCTTATGAAAGGGCTGATGACTGTCGCGATTGGGTGAGACTACTATCTCATGTCCCGTCTGGATCGAACCCACTGGTGTTGACTGTAATCATACACATAAAACATTGAAAATAACAGAAATTGAAAAACATCAATTCACACAAAAATTAAAAAATATATACAATTTCAAAAGAGCTTTTTTGAGCGTTAATGTTATTTTTACATTATGGAGAAGAATGATAAATAACCAAAAATAATAAGCAAGACCCATGCTTCGAGATGCTAAACATGCCATTTATGCGCAAGCATTTGCGCAAAAATTTTGTCACCTAGTTATCGTTTGCGCAACACAAACTTTGCGCAAATGATAAGGAACTAATTAAATATTCCCTTCAAATGCCTGTTAATGATATTTTCGTTGAAGATAATAATAAGTCGTCGCCACTAACCTTGTCAGACTTATTCCTAATCACATTGGAGGGCGGTGCGTTGCGCAAGATTCGCATCACGTGAATGTTCGAAGGCTGTCCACCAGCAACGAACAAAAGCGGTAAGCATGCATGCAACACCAACGTTAATGTACCGCCACAAACCATGCTAACGCGCTAAGAACTTCCCATTTGTTCAATATTCTTTCATATAAGAACTTGTATAGGACTACAGACAAGTTCAGACCAAATAAGCAGTTCTTCAGCTTTGACATTCCTCGATATGAAGAGTTGCAACATAAAAATAGTAAGTGAATGAATCCCAGTGCCTAAATCAAAAGCTACATTCATGAAAACCAATTCTACACAAAAACACAATGATAAGGGCATAAAATTTTTATTTTATTAAACAAATATAATAAATTATGCAACTTCTACCATTAGCGATGTTATCTAAGGAAATATAATTCAAACAATTATTTTAATTCATTAATTAGACCATCATCCGTTATGGTACGATCGAAAAGAAAAAAATATTAACAAAAATTAAAGTCGAAAGAACAATTTGTGAATAAATATAGATGCCGTTCGATGGTTTGGGCACGTTTCGATATTTAACACATTTGTGTTGTAATTTGGTTGAAAAATGAGGAAGCAGTACAATCAAAACTTAGTAAATTAACATCAGGGTTAAGTAATCAAAAAAAAGTGCAAAAGTTGACATTTTGGGAACCATGATTTTTGTATTTACATTGCACTTCCTTAGGCAGTAAATATGAAGGTCGAAATTGGCGCATGCTTTGCCGTTCGAAGCACTCAAATAGATGTTATAATGGCGAAATGAAGTGAATGTCAACTTTTGCAGGGTAATGAAGACATGGAAAGAAAGGATCAAGTCTGTCAATGATGCATACAATGTGTGCGATAGCTTAGCAAGATATCAGGCAAAGAAAATACAAATATATCGCGTCCTATCGCGCACGTGAGATATAAAATAAGGTCCATTATTTTAATCTAGAATTAGTGGTTTCTTGAAATATTCAAGGACGCGATAAGACAGATAGACTCATGCTACCAAAAGCCCCGAGTTTTAGAAAGACAAACACATTTGCTACTGTAAACTTGCAATGAAACGGGACGAATTAAGACTTCAAGGTGAATAAACAAAACCTGAAAGAGATTTTATCGTTGAATTGGTATTGTGTTTAGCCAATAAAGTATCTCTTTTAACTGAAGACAATGGTAATGTTCACAGCAGTGGTTTTTACAGTTCATAGATTTTTGTTTCAAAATAAGCACATAATCATTTTTGTTTTGTTAAAAAGTAATGAAATTCGTTTTATCCTTATTCATCTTGAGTATACATTCGTCCCGTATCACCGTGTTGATTAGCAAACTGATATGTGTGACTATTATGGAAGAAAAATACTGAAATAACTTCAAAATTAAACCAGCTAAGTTACAGCCACGTATAAAAAGAATCAGACAGCATGTTACCCTAGTTATTACACCTTTGAAAATATTCGTGAAAAGGCGTTTACCTTTACGAAAATTCATTAAAAAATCTACAAAATGTAGTGTTCTAATTTCGTCACATAAGCTTTCGTTATAAGAAGCCGTTAAGTATTCGGTATGTAATGGCTATTTTTAACAGTAAACAAACGAGCCCATAAAGGCACAGCTACGCAGGCACGTGCAAGGCCAAGCTTTGAGGGAATACCACAGTTTTTAGATGGCAATACATTATCAGAAATTATAACGAATCACATGACGAAATATACTTTATTGTGTTTTAAAAGAACCTTTGGTATTTTGTTCATCTACGGTAAACGAGTTAGTACAATACGTAATAGAGATTTCGATGTCGTTACAAGTTCAGATAAGTCAATAAGGTCGAAAATCGTTAGTAAAGCGATAAATAGAAACACACAACAAATATAAAAATTCTCATACACGCGATACTTGGTATCGAATAATTTAATTTCCTTTATATTAAAACATTGAGTAGAAATATTTATTTAAACTTAGAAAATCTTGTTTGCAGTTTAAGTCGAGTCCAGATTCCAATTTATAGACTTTGTACGTCTACTTCGCGCACAGGCTGACGGGAAATAGAAAAATAAAATCAATGAACAACCTTTTCTGTGTTTTGTTGTACTTAGCAAGTTAATAATACGAACTTTGGTAAATTTCTTTAATTGCTTTCTTACTTTTCTGTTATCAGAAGACTATTTATAGTTAGAATTTTCGACATTTCCGGACTATTTAAAAAAAATCGTCGAGAGAAAAGGTAAAGACGAAAAATAATCTAGATTGACTTGACTGCTAAGTAGTGCAGTTTCGGTTTCTACATTCGGAACGCATACCGATAGCAATTTAGAGTTGAATAAGATGGGGAGCGATACGTCTAGATGTCTCGATACGCCGATTGTGACGAAAGATTATTTGCTGGTATATAATGGGACCGAATTTGTTGGTAGGTAAGTCGCATTAGGTCAAATTCATGTACAAGGTACCAAGTTATGATCTCACAAAGGCCTACTTTATAAGCACAGAAATAATCAATTATTTTATCACCCAGACTGACAGAAGTGTTTATATTTAGCCGTAAATGCGATAAAATCGTTACTTACGATTTGATTATAATTCTAGATACCGAGAATCGCGTGTATGATTGTCAGGGAGTGCGTCCACTTATCGGCAAGAATGCAAATACTTAACATATCCGTATTATCAAGGACGGAATTCACTTGTGACTTTCAAGAGTCACTTATTTTGCCTATAAGTGAACGAAGACGAGGGCGTAGCCCGATTGTTAAACCTATAACATCATAATGCAGTTAAGAAACTATACTAGATGTTTTCATTAAAGTGTTTAGGTTGCTGTATAAAGGATCTTTTGGTATTTGCGGCTAAGCAAAAAATTCAGCAAGCAACCGCCACACGTGTGACGTCAGCTACGCCCTAGAAGGTACTAAAGTAACATAAGTAAGGTGTAGGGTTGTCATGCTACGGAATTGTTTACCATGGTCTTGCCAGTCCAGTCGAACTCGCCGTCGTCCACGTAGCCGCGGCGCTCAAAGAGATCACGGAACATTCGCCGCAGCTGGTCGTAGTCGGGAGTCTCGAAGAAGTCGAGCCGGCGCACGTAGCGTAAGTACGTCGCCAACTCCTCGGGATGGCCTTCGCATAGCACCTGTAGTTTATTAATATAAAGTATTAGAAACACATTTCGCAGATTGTGGTTTGTAAGTTTAAAGTCTAATTGCTTTATTAATAAAAATGCGACTGTTGCAAGGCATATTCAATTAGGTGTCACAGGAACCCCTTAATATGTTAAATTGTTACATTAATTTGAAGATATGTACTTGAATAGTGATTTGATCAATTGTTGACAAGATATTAAATCAGTTCGCATAATGAAGCCTAATTTGATAATTTCAAACAGCCGGAGTAATAAAATTGATTTTAGTACATACACAAGGTGCCTTCTATGATTTCAAGGTTTTTCTAATATTAGGTATCGAAATATTAATCACGATAAGGCATCAAGGTAGTCTACTTACGTATGGTAATAAAACAAATAATTATCTTTCCCAAATCAGATAACTGTTACTATTACTATGGGACTAATAACAATATACTAAAAGTAGTCCAAGTTTTCAAAAAACAAAGCAAATCCTCTAAGAGACTTTGATTAAACGGACAATACCTATTCATACTTATTGAGAAATAATTGTATGTATGCTCGTATGTATATTTAGTATGGTATCTTATACTTCTTATCTTATATCTTATACTATTATATAAAGCGGAAGAGTTTGTTTTTTTGATTGTTTGTTTGAACGCGCTAATCTCCGAAACTACTGGTCCGATTTGAAAAATTATTTCTTTGTTGGATAGCCCATTTATCGAGGAAGGCTATAGGCTATAAAACATTACGCTACGACCAATAGGAACTGAGCAGAGCGTATGAAACCGCGCGGAAGTAGCTAGTTATAATATAATTTTATACTCATTCAATGAACATTTTGTTTAGATCCCTGATCAGTAATTTATGTTCTTTTTACGAAATTTAGGAAGTTTAGTCATTATGATTAGGATGTTGATTACAACTAATCAGTATGGTTTATTGTTAGGGGGGAAAACGACTTTGTTATCACAATAATGGAATTATGGCTTTCCTAAAGTGAAAAATGAAAAGGAATTACATATTTACCCTGCATAGTTTTACATCCAATTGCACCTAAAATATTTTTAATAGACTGTCAACTTTATTTATTTATTTATCGGTTTATGCACAACACACAGACAGTACACAGGAGAACACATATATAAATATTTTGGAGGTACATAGGTACTACATATTCCCGAAGGAATCTCTTCCTGCAGTCCTTCGACAGGAAAAACGGAAAAAACAGAGACACTGTGCGTAACATGACATGAAATGTATTAAATAAATAGATCACAATAAAATACATAAACCTATACATACATATGACAGATACACATCAAATAATACACATATTAGAGTATATTACAAATAAACATACATATATATATATATATATATATATATGACACTAATTTGAACAAGATGAGGAAAGGTAGTGCTCCCTTACGAGTCTTTATTGCTAAGTAGCAAGATTTAAAATCTAGTCTTTACTTGTAACTTGTGATATACATCATGCTGTGATGTTATTAATTCACTATTGAAGAAAGACTAGCCAGAGGTCAAATACACTTCAAAGATAAACACTAGAAGACAAACTTTCAACATAGCAACAAGCTACCTAATACAAAACCACTGCGCCATAAAAGGCCTTGAAGACCATAAAAAATATATTTGGCAAAGTAATTCTCAATCTGAGACATTAAACTAGATTATAACTGTCTCAACATTTCTTAGATTGAACAAGGACGGTGCGCCCTAAAAACCTAGTCTTGACCTCCATGCAATAACAATGTAAATAAATGAGTAGGTACTTCGCTTCAATAATTTAGTTAGTGACGTCTGTTACCGTGAAAATTAGGTTCGATGTGAGCACCTAATTGTAACCAGAAGGGCATAGAATAACTTTGTGGAGACGATTAATAGTTATGAGTGCGATTGGAATTATAAAGGGCAACTATAGTTGTATATTTTGCATATTTTATTGAAAGTCTTTGTTTATCATTTTTAGTACGAAAAAGTGGCATTTTTTCTTCTAAAGACCAGCTATCCTACATTAAACATTACCATAATTGTATTATAAGAGCAAAGAGAATGCAGGTTGCTTCCTACCGGCTGACTTGGAAGGCATTAATGCCTTAACCCCTCGAGCGTCCTTATGACCGCCGGTGGATCATAAAAAAAAAATGCTCCATGCTGCTTTCTCTTTTATAAAATCTATTATTAATGTTTTGTTTTTATTTTGATTGTATTTGTTTTATTTCTATTGTAATGATCCTTGTTTTCGTGTGCCAATGGCCAAATAAATGCATTTTCTTTCTTTCTTTCTCCAAATGTCACGTGTGCACCCGTTGGATCATAAGGAACGCGGACGCTCGACGGGTTAATATCCCCTATCCGCGAGGTTCAGCAGTGCACGTCTTGCAGCAGTAATGATGATAAGAAAACAATACAGCAGAATGTATGCCAGAATTTGTATTTTAGCATAAACTTGAGTATTTTTCAGTCCAAACCCGCAGATTATCATTCTCCTAAGAACAGGCCACCATGCTCGAACCCAATCATGAGCCATTAGGTCAAATGAATTGTAATTGGTTTTATCATGTGATTGTATTGATAAAACACCGATAGGTCCGCGCCAGTGATAGCCTTATAACGTCATCCGTCAACTAATAATTTATAATATCTCCTTTCTCATTCGTAATTATCGCTCCTAAGATAACAAATATTTCTTCATATAATGTAGAAAATTCAATATTGATTTTAAAAACATGTATTTTTCGTAATATCGTCACTGTGGCGTGTTGATAAGGTAAATTATCCTTTGATTCAAAATTGATTACCTATGAAATATCCATATTTCACCATGGCAATGATTCGTATCGTATTGTTTGACGTCAATGTTTTCGGCGTTAATAAAATAACGTTAAGACTGGCTTTTAATCAATGCTGCCACCCTCTGTCTGTCTGGGTAGCTAGATAGCTAGGTACAGGTATAAATATATGTGTACGTACCTCTATAGGCGTCGCTCGTTTGGTGTCACCAATTTTTTGGTATCGCTCTTTAAGTGTATCAGCTTTTAAACCCTGCCAGGGTAAGGAACCACGTAAAAAATACATAAACATATGCCCAAGAGCCTCTAGGTCGTCGCGTCTTGATTGTTCTGTAAAAAGTACAAGCAGACATGTTAGTTTAAGTATGAATTATTGTATGAAGTTGCATGTTGAATACAAATTAGAATATATTCCACGAACTATTTCAATGTGCGGAATGTACTAAGTACGTTTAATGTCGTTAAACTCCCCCAAGGTTAAAAGGGTGATAAGTATCTTGTCTTTCATAGAATAGAATAATACATTACCTTTTCCTAAATGTGTATTTATTGACATGTATCTCGCAGTCCCTGTGAGTGACTTGTGTTCCCGGTATGGGATATGTTTGTTTGTCTCTAAGTCTATATATTCTTTGGCCAAACCAAAATCTGAAACAAGAGGCACATTATTACTTATCCATGACCGAGTCGTTGGAGGACAAAAGCGTTCGATTCCATTCGCTTCAAAGATTTCAGTGGAATCGATTAATTTTATTTATTTATCATCGAGGTGGAATATACGTAGGTATGGGTATAGAGTATGGACGAACGGCTATACAAAAAGGTGGCTATAAATAATTGCTAGTACTGCAGAGACCGCTAAATTCATTGACCTCGTAATGACGTTCATTTTATCAGTTTAAGAATATTGTATTGAATACATCAACGGTACGACCGATGACTGGCTTGTTCATTGTAAGATTTGTAATCAATTACATATAGCATATCACGCTTCTTTTTCTTCGAAGGTAAAGCAGAAGCGTACAATTTTTGGTAAATTAATTGCCAAAAGTCAGTTTCTAAATCCATTTTAAAACAAAAGTGTAATACAAAAATACATATCTTCATTCTAATTTGTCCATTATCTGTTAGATATTTCATTAATTAAGTATTGATATAAGGATTAAAATATCTATTACGTGTAAAAATAAACATAGTACCTACTACTTATAAGTACGAAAAGGTATTTCCCTCTATAATCTACCTTTAAAGTTAAATGAGCAATTATTGTATATAATTATGTATCAACTATCTCGGAAACGGCTTCAACGATTTACTTGAAATTTTGTATTATTGGGGTTTCATGAGCGATAAATCAATCTAGGTAGGATGAATTTTGAGAAAATGTCGTATACTAAAAAAAACACACCAAGCATAGCTCAGTCATTCAGGTAGTATTGTCTTAATGGATTTATAATTGCAGGAATGTCTGCAAAGAATAATCACCTAGTACCTACTAGAAATCATTGGAAGTATTGTCCTAAATTAGAATCTTACATAGGTCATAGGTTCATAGGTTCCTTTCATAGATATTAATTAAGTAGGAAGACTGATAAACCTTCTGAACCTTTCAAGTTGCGATCTGAACTTGCCTTTGCTGAGTGTGGAGATTACGGCATACCCTCCTATACAAATGCAGCCCAGTCTAATTTTTGGTATAGATACTGTATGGTAAAGTTATACCAATGTTAAATGGTCGACTAAACAATTCTATCCCACTAAAAATAGAATAGATTTTATGGTATTTACACTAATAGATACAACAGACAAACAAGACAGTCACATGTCCGTCACTTAGAGAAAAACCTACACTAACATTTGTCAGAGAACACGAGTAGTAAACCACAGACCTCATTCTAAGATTATGTTACAACACTATTGTTATATCGTGTTACCTAATCTTAGTGACGCGATCGTGAATGAGTTTATCACTTAAAACCAGCCAATGCCTGAAGTAATACTTCATTACACAAATGAGAATCGTTGACACTAGCCATTACTTTACGTGACTCCTATATTAACACCGGCGTGGGTTTTACCGGCGGCCATCATTATTTTGTGTGCAATAAAATTTCGTTACCATTTTTATGATATTAGGTCATTAGTTTGGTATGGAACTTTTTGTCTGTTTATCTGGTTAGATGTAGAATGAAGTTGTAATTATTGCGACCGTGAACTCTTCTAGGGTCAAGCGAAGGTAGTATAAAGATTCTTAGCCACCAATTTGTGGATCTACCTAGACTATTCAAGCTATACGATCATCACGCAGCTGTCTAATGTTAGTTGAATCTGCCTAGCTTTTGAGGGAAAATAACATTACGACGATAAAAACATTACGTAAAGGATGATAACTTCTAGGAAATCTAGTTTCAGACATAGGAAATCGTCAACACGCAAGCATTGACCAAGCGTAGTGATGTATGCTAGCATTGTTTTCGAGATTTTTATCAGTATAATGCAAAATCTTGGTGAATTCATTACAAATTACAATGGATCATTAGTATAATTAAACCAACAAACATTTAGGAGAAAACTTTAAATAGCGTAACTTTTTAAAAGCCTTCATTTTAGTTATTCATTGTGCAGAATAATAATATCCTAATTAAGAATCAGATAAGATTTTATGATTAGTGTGACTACGTTGGACAAGAGAACAAATCTTAATGCTTGTAGTATTAAAACGCAACGCGTGTCCGATGCGTGTGTTGCAATAGGCCCATAAAACTTGTATGTTCGTTTATAACCACAATCTGACTGATATCCTCTCAAATTACTAGACGAATTTAAAGAAAAGCTATCAACTGATAGATTTATTAAAGGAAGGCTTGTCTTTGCGCATGAGTTAGTTTTATAAAATGTACAGCCTTTAATGATTCGAATGAATGAATCAGAATGTAGTTGACTAGTGTAACCAGGCTATTTCATTATGACTGCCTCGTTGGCCGAGTGGTCGCAAGTGCGACTGCCGGGTTTTTTTTTAAGTTTTTTAAGTATTACTGTTTTTTTTAATTCTCTGTAGTAGCACGGAATCTGGAATTGTGCCTGTATATGGCAATAGGCTATTACATGGGACTCCCCCTATTACATGGGACTCATAAGATAAGTAGTGAACAGTTGGGTGTTACATTGTACCTACAGTGGCATTAAGTGCCGTAATGTGTACCTCTGCCTACCCCCTTCGGAGATAAAAGGAATGATGTTATGTTATGTTACTATTTTATTAATAGGAACGGACTTTAATTATCTCCCTATAAATTCACTTTTTTGCATTAAATTTGTATCACAGAGTACATACAAGGAATAGACATGTAGGTACAATAACTACGTTACTTCCACGAACTGCTAATTCTATAATTAACCAATGCTAGTTACGAGTTTACGTTAGCTATTAGTGAAATTACACGCATTAAAACAATCGTAGTTTCAATGTCAGAATGCAAATATTTCAGTGGAAAATGTTATTAAAGATAATCTGTTTGTCTGGGGATAATCTGGTGATCGACAAAATAGAGAAGTTCATATGTATTTTGATACTATGATACAATACAAAGTATCAGACAGATGAAGTTTACATTGCCAAAATCGCAGTTTGTAGATAAATGGCTAACTAAAGCCGAGATATCTAATTATAAAATTTTGTTATCATAAGTATAGCGAAGAAAAACCACTAGAAAATCATTGCAATGACTGAATCATCATTATGGCTTAATGTATTTGTGAGATTAGTACGTCAACAAAAGTCAATATTTCTAAATACAATAATAGCTCTCATATAACGAAGATAACTTATACCTATATGAAACTCATGACAGTGACATTACGTCGTCTGGTTTCATATAACCGTCTTTGAAATTGGTAGATAAGACGTGAAAAATTTACACGAAAATTTCAATCAAAAGATCTATCTATCAAAATCTATCTACCAAATTAATAACTGAATATTCTGACCAACAACTAGGAAATTGGCGAAGTAATTAATCGGGCCAATTCACAGTCGGCCGCAGTACGCAAAACTTTCATTTTTAAACGCCTCATGACTCAATCTGATAATCATGACATCGTAATTTAAATAATCAATTAAGCGTATAATTACGTGAAACAAACATTATGACAAATTGTTAGTATGGTTTTGGTTGTAAACATCGCTTCACATTAGCATTTTTAAAGAGAACTTAGCAAGAAACCAATATTTGAATGTTTCTCATCCTTTCATACATAAAACTGCTCAATTAATTTTGATGGAATATGTCAAAAGCACTGTCATTGGACCTTACGTCTATTAAGGCTATTTAACACGTTAACCGCCGCGTAGGTCACCGGTGACCTACGTTAGCGTAGGATTTGCCTTCAGCAGATTTCTGTCGGCAGGGTTAATATAGACGATTTATTATAAGGCACGGTTTTTGATGACCTCACAAACAATCGCGAACGATTCTCCCTCCTACAGGCATGGGTCAATGTTGCGGTGGTGTTTATCGAATAGCAAATATTGAACATAAAGAATTTCATGGTTGCATCAATATTCGTTATTGTATCGCCATATCAAGCAGGTAATACGTAACAGAGGCCTTAGTACGAATTTGGTTTATCGTAACAAGTACGCATTCGGCGCTCTGATTGGTTGGTTCATTGGCGCCGGCCAATCAGAGCGCCGAACCCGTACTCGTTTCGAATACTTCAAACGTAAATGAAACTCGTACTAAGGCCTCAGAATCGTCTCTCGGCATTGATAAAGTAATGTGTCTACCTAAAGCCTTAGTTACTACAAAAATATGTATTCAAAAATCGCTATCTCTATATCTAAAACCGTACGGTTGATGTGCAAATATCTCTAATAAATCTTAACAAGGTTACATTACAGAATATTTCCTGTATTTTTCCGTTTTTAGAACAATTTATCAGGGCATGTAGAGAAACTCAAGACTTAAATCATTTAATAACACAGTAATAGTCGCACTAGATAAAATGGCGTAGGAAAAGTTAATATTTGACACCAATGCCTGATACAGATGTGCTACGGTAAATATTTAACTAATGGATGAGTCAATGACCTCTTTACAACAGACATCGGTGACTAATAAAACTTCGTTGGAACCACTCACTTCCCTTTATTCAAGGACTAGATTTAGCCTGTTTATGTCTCTAGTATTCCATAAAACTGACGCATCCATTTTCTAAATGTTCCATGAATTAGGAAATACCCTTTCGTACAATACAAATTAGCGCTTATTACTGTAGAACAAGATAAATATTAGCAAAACATGACTTACCAATGATGTGAATGATTTTTTCCCTTTTTGTTGCAGTTCTACCTATTAAAAAATTTTCCGGTTTTACATCTCGGTATATGAGATGTCTTGTATGGACATACTCGATACGATGTAACTGAAATAGACATGGAACAGTATTAGTTTGTTTCTCCGGCTGTCACTACCAATTGACGTCGGTACAAATCATTTCATTGAAGGGCATATCATTAGATAATTGAATATTGATGCATCAAATCAGTTCGCTATCATCAATGAAATGTTAAATGTCAATCGATAGTGAAGTCAAACATTTTTTATTTCAATTGTTGAATGATTTATTGTCGAAATACTGAAACGTATCAACTTATATCTGAGTATTTCTGTCTTTAGAAAATAAATTGGAAAGCCGGAGCATGAGATAAAACATCCACTTAAAATTGAGTAACGTTTCAATATTCGAGCGTTATGTTCATTGAATAAGATATTGTTTCCAGTAGAAATAAACACAAAGAATACTGTTTACGTAGACTACGTTGTTTGATCAATCTTAAGATTTAATCAACTGATTCACGCATTTTTCTACTACGTACCTACAATTATTGTGTAAGAGTATTTCCCTGCCAAGTAAAATATATTTCTTCGATATGAATCTCGTTCCACTTTTACAATCTTTCCTTACCCCAGGGATCGAGTTACAGGAGCGTTTCCAGAGCTCGCATTTCATTAAAAGCGACTCGGGACATTTCCCACAAATTGCCAGCGATATTGCCAATTTAATATAAATCTTTAAGCTCTAAATCGCCCATTACTGATTTGCTTACCAATTCAAGCGTTTGTTCGTCGCATTGCATCAGTTACGTCACAATAGTCTGCCAGTTAAAGCACTCTCTACAATCATATTCCTTGAACGCACTTACAAGTCAGTGCTGTTATTTAAGTTCAATGACTTACACAAATTGATTTCTGTTAGATTTGCAATGCTTTGGAGATTAATTTGAAAATCTAGTTTTTGTTTTTGAACAAGAAACTGTTATTATACGCATATTAACTTACCAACTGCATAGCGATCATTAATACAGTCTTTAGAGAGAATCGACGGCCGCATAAATCGAAGAGATCCTCGAGTGACGGGCCCAGCAGTTCCATCACCAGTGCGTTGTATTTACCGCAAGGGCCGAAGTAATACACCTCCGGTATGCCCTCTGCAGTCGACGGCGCTACAGGAGTCACGGGAATTAGGGGGGAGGAGGGGGGGAGACAAACCGAACACAATTAGGTACTTACTCACATTTCAATACACGAGCATTGCTCTCGCACGCACCTGTACGACACAACACTGTAGCCGATATTTACAAATTACATCATCAAACACGACAGGACACGCGAGAGCATTGCTACGTGTTCAGCCTTATAAAATAATATAACGAAAAAATAAAATACATTTAGACGGGCCTCAACAACGACCATGACCACGGCGCGGACCCTCGGACGTCGCGATTACTGAATTAGAATTTGGATATCGGTTACGGTGTTGTGTCAAAGAGACAATCACCTATCTACCGGAGAATTGTTTTACGGCACTTACGAGCTGCATAGCAATCATAAGGACCGTCTTGAGTCTGAACCTTCTGCCGCAATGTACGAATAGGTCTTCGAGAGAGGGCCCTAACAACTCCATGACCATGGCGTTGTAGCGGCCACCACATGTTCCCAAGTAGTACACTTTTGGAACGCCCTCTAAGCAAATTTCATCGTCAACTGGATTATTAACTAGCTACTATAATAATCAACTCTTAAATTATTATTCATGCCCAATTAATTTTTATTACGAATGGTGCCAATGGTTAAAAATTTCAAAATAATTGAAATGACTGAACAGTTCCAGAAAAAATGGACATTGAATTCAGTTTTAGTACACACAAGTCTAATTATAGCTTCATTCAGAACTTAAGATGCACAATATAGTCGTGGGTTAGTCACATATTTCGTTTTGCAATGATCATGATTCACCATTTAAAATTGTTGGTGGACCGATATGAAGCGTAAATCAGTGCTTCGGTCGCGGCCCGCTCAATCTAGCATTTTCGTAACAATGTGTAATTATTCATGCAATTAGGGTAGAACTTACCATGCGTGCCTAATAACTTGTAAAATCGGTATTCTAGATGCAATTGTGGAGCCTTTGATTTCATAGGCTCCATCTTAATCGCTACATGTTCATTGTTGTAGAGATTTTTGCCTGAAAGAGAAAGTTGTTATGTATTTAACTGCATACTAAATGACGTAGCAATATAAAAGATTAAGTTTAATGTCTGCTTCCATGTTCTAGTCACTAATGGCTGCTCAGTTATGGAGCGCAAGGTGCCGTGTCGGGCAAAGTGGAAATGGCTTTTTCGATTTCATTATTGTCTATAACCTAGCCTTAACGTGGGCGGTGCATAGCGATAATAGAAGTGCACCCTATTACACGGAACTATGAGCATAAGTCGTGCAAAGTGGGCGTACTACACCATCGCTAGCAACAGAGGCCTACTCATAAAAACAAACATTGTGTTACGTATACAAAATTAAATAAACCTCATTTTTCTTCGGATGTCTTATTTTCATGACACAGTTACACGGCTGTCTTTAGTAACCATTTAAAAATAAAAACAACACGATTTTATTGTGTGTACTACATTATATTGTGAAGTGTGTTCGTTAAAACATTTCAAAGTTCAACAACGTCACCGACTTGAGTTATCGGCGTTATCATTGATCATAAACATCGTCATAGCATCGTATCAACATACTATGTATTAGATCTCAATAATCTATATCTTATCAAGGGACAAATTAAATGGAACAACAATGTTTCATGTTATAAAGCCGGTGAAGCGGTGACATACAAATTGAATTAGGTACAAGAAATACTTTCGAGTGCTGTAATAACTTCGGGGTAAGAGCATGTTGGAATTCTCTCTGATTTATTAAGTAACAGTCATATTCCTTCTAAATAAACAAATTTAATGGTTTCATCAAAATAATTATAGAAATGAGCTCATTATTGTCGTTAATTTTGTCACAAACAATTCTGTATTTCCTATGATGCGCATAACTGCGTCATCATAAGGATCTAACGTAAAAATAAATAATCTGTTTACATGTATGATTTCCACTGAATTTTCAGGAAAAATAACGTCATCTACAACAATCGATGGTATGAGTAAAATGTACGAATGTGATCTAAACATTAATGGAACAAGATGTTATTAATTCTAATTGCTCTTTAGATTACAATCGTTACGGTAGAATGTTAAATGGAGGAAACAATTATAACCCACACAGGAAACTAAGCAGGAGTAACGAAGTTCTTTTAATTCGTGGGATTTTTAGCTTGATTAATTTCACCGTGAGTGGTACATTTTTAAAAAAACACGGTTTCATAAGTAAATAATGTATGTATTGGCTTAATCACCTCACGCACGTGTCCGCAATAATGTTATTTTCAGTGACGCGAGGTTGAATCCAATTCTCATCCGCACGCAGCCATATAATCTCTCAGACAACAGCCATATGAAACCTTACCGCCTAGAAAATAAGGCTCACGTGTTGTGGACCTCTGACATTTCAATATACATATTCCAAGTACTTTGTTTAAAAGATTTCGTGGCCGTTGTAAAGTGATCATATTGTTGGGCACGTGTGAACGGTGGCTAAGGCTCGTTTGAAAGAGCGTTTCCGAATACTGACAGCGAAAGAATGAGTCATAAGTCTTCCATTATTACACAGGTCCTTTGTTACGTACTTTGCTTCTACCTGCTGGATGAATATTTAAAATACGTATCGGTTGTGAGAGAAAATAATGTTGTACTCTTTTTTTCTACGCTATCATGCCGACTAATATAATACATCACACTAGTTAATAGTGCCTTTAGATATACGAATCCGATTTTTCATAGCACCACAATAAATAACCTCTGTTATCAAATATCTCGACGAAACCTTTCAAATAAAAGTTGGAAGTTTCATAGCTCACTTTAGTATCTGTGATACTGCGAGATATTTTCGTAAGTAATATAACTTACACTTTGCAAACATTAGTTTCGCTTTCTCCGTTAAATATAACGGATCTTCAGGCGCCATCAAAATAAAATGTGTTGTATCGCATAAAGCAACATGCAACAATAATATTTATGTGTATGCGGTGATGGAAAGCTTGCTAGCCTTTCGAATACAGACAGCATAGTGACCTATTTTCCTTCAACTGACTGTTACAATAGGAACATTTACATTCGATTCACTCTGTTTCCTATCAGTTCAAGATCTTCACGACAATGATAACTTGACCTTGCTAAATGATTATTATTCCACGAACGTTTTTTTTGCTAATCAATTTAATCGTATCAAATTAAGCTTTACAACGCTTAAATACCCTATTTCCGTCCATCATATGAATAAATGAGTTAAGACAGGCTGGTCAGGCCATAAAACTATCGAATCTTAACGGATGACGAAATGATATATGAAGAAACAGTAAGTACAGCAAAATGTGCCGGCTGTAAAATCCAGATGGTAAACTTCCACATAAATCTACCAAAGTTTTCGGAAATGGAGATTATTGCGTATTGCTAAAAATGAATGCACTGTCAGTAAGATTGTGGCTATTTGTATCCATTATGGCAATTCAGAAAACTGACAAGGACATTACAGAACTCTTGGAATTAGACCATGGGGTGTGTCTAAAATAGCACCATTAATAGTTTTACATATTTCAGTAAGCGTGCAAGGTCGACAAGACGCGTTATTATGAGCATGTCATTGAGCGGCTAATGTACTTAACATTAGCCGTGCAGTCCACGTTAACATGAGCGGGATCAGGTAAAACTTAATAGCGGTTCCACATAAGCATGTCCACTTATTACTAACAGGATTTTTTGTGGTCCAAGCTCTCATCTCATGCGTCATCGCACTCACCGCTCAACGTAATTTTGAAGGAGCAGAAAACCAATCACTTATGATTCATCGCATCAAAGTTCGTTGATTAGAATCACGTTTGGGTTCTTGTTTTATATTTTGGTGTAAAAATAGATGTTTGCGAAAACTAGTGATAGGCACGTGCCAATTTTCACGAAAACCCTTTAGATAGCGGTCTACCTGAAGGGTTATTCGCTGACCGACTAACACAAAAACCTTTTTCGCCTCAAATTTTGGCATTGCCTGCATAACTATAAATATTACATCGAAGATTTGTATTGAATCTTTGCTGATTGTTTACACACAGATGCCAGAAGTATTCAGATACTGTTTTTTGATTTCGTATTAAAATAGAAAACACCTTAGACATAGAATAAGGGACAATATTAATTTTACCAGACGAGGTAGCAGACATTAGACTTATAAGTTACACTTATATGGAAATATCAATACATCTACAGACTTGCCATTATCTTAAATTAAGTAGTAGTTACCAGATTAATTGCAATACCGACATTTTATGAGCAACCACGAATTCTGCTGGTACTCATATATCTATATAAGACCAACAATGTTTATTTCGTGTAAGTTTTTGTGACAAACTTGTTATATTACTTACCGAGCCTAAGTTCGCCAAAGTTTCCGCAGCCGATCTTTTTGCCGACGCGGAAATTAGGCCCCACCATAAGAACGCCCGAAGACGAGGTGACGGAATGCCTCGACGTATGCATTGCGCTGCTGCCGCCCACTCCACGCCCGCCCACCGCACCGGTTGCGCTGCAACAGTGTACACACAGCTTAAGATCCTAAACTAAAGAAAGATAAAGAAAAATGTTTACAGCTTTTCTATACAAAAAGAGGAAGGTGACATGGGGCATTTAAGTTCACATACTTAGGATAATAAAACCTTTTCATTTCAACTTATTCAATAATATTAATAATACGCAAATTTCCGGATTACGATTACGTGTTTTTGGACAAGTAACGATGCAGTATCGACATCGATTGATGATAATGTTTGTATCATAAGAATGGCGCAATGTTATCTCATATTGACAAAACTTTTACCATTTAATTAGATATCTTTATAATTATTTCTGATATTGAGTTTCTTTGCATAAATGAACTACACTTGTTACTCTTTTAATCTCCATTTAGATTGCTTCTTACTTAACAGGGATGCCATTACGCATAAAATCTTTGAAAAGGTGGGCCGTGAAAGAGCATTTCTTTATAAAGAGGTTTTAGCTCGCTCGTGTTTGTCACTAAACAAAAAAGGTATTATTGCCAAGGTTTTTTAAAAAAGGACGAAATTAGAAGAACCCCCTGCGAGATCAAAGACGTAGGTATGCCAGAATCAGGCTTTTTAAGGTACTAGAGTCATATTGCTATGTAGGTAGTTACGTGACGAAGACTTTTGGAGACCTGTGTTACACGTGTTTTTTTATCTACCTTTTCGTCTCTTTACGTCATCATACGTAATACAGACATTTCAGATATCTGATAGGATATTAAAGAGTCGTAAAGTAGGAAGTTTAAAAAGACCTGTTGAATAAATTAAGACAAGTATTTTAAGCATTTCAATAAATAAAACAAAGCGATAAAATACCATACTCATTGTTTATCTGATAAAGTGAGTGAATAATAGAACTACCGGTAATTATTATTACTAACCAACATTTTTGACTGAAAAACCTACGTAAGTTACATGAACATAGAACATTTACTAGTATTTGTACAAATAGGTTAGTGGATGCGGTAAAATCAGTTCATCACGCGACGTGTAACACTGAACTAAAAGGTAAAGGTACTTGATTATAGGTAAAATACACAATAATGTTTTTGTAAGCTATAGTATAGATTTTTGCTTTTAGTGTTTAAGGTTGAATTCCGCGACCTTGATATAACGAGCGAGCTATAGATTTTCGGAGTAATGGTGTTCATTCATGCACGCCCTCTGCATTTCACAGATAATATTAGACATGCATAGATAAACACTGCGGTTTAGTGGAAATCAGCCTAATGGAAGAACAACATTCAAGGAATTTGGTTCAATAAAACCTCCTTTTATTGAAAATTGGTCATAATCAATATTTTTTTATTCTAGTGTGCTTTGGAGTAAGGGAATAAGTCTGTACAGTTTTATAGCATGGACAGATAATATAAAACAATAGTTATACTGCACACAACACATTGCAATATTTAGTTCTGCAACTTATAACAATGAAATAGGAAAATCAGATAAGTACAAGCAGTTTACTTTGTGAAATGTGTGTTAATAACGAAACTGTGATAAACTATGTCTTTAACTAGTAATATTTTAAAATGACAAATATGACCTGTACAAAGAATAAAGAATGTGTCTTTGTCAAATATTTCTTTGGACATGAACCTACATTACTATTTGCTATGAATTGTTTAGTGTTAAAAGAAATATCATTTCAGATTTCTGCAATAATAACAATGAATAATACAGGAAAAGTGTAATAATATGTCACATTGGCAGTTACCGTGAAACTGTTGGATATAAAATGAGTTTTATCTCCATTTTCATAAATCAATGTTCTCTAAAAGGCATAATATATTTTTCTTTGTGAAATCCAAGGATTCGTGTACATTGCCACAGTAGTCAGCCAATCAGAGCATTGTTGTGATGCAACTGTCACTATTGATTGGATTTAGAAGTAAACAAGTCGTGTATTGCAACTTGGTGTTCAGAAAGAAGCCACATACAAGCTAAAAGGCTTATCCTCAGTGAAATAGAGCTGATTAGTCTTGTTTATGACAGATTATAATCTGTGAACTTGGAGGGACCTTCAATTCATAAACAATGTCAATTGAAGTGTCACAACACATTTATAAATAAAAGCATGCAAACCAAATGATATCAGCATCTATTTCAACTAGGTATTGAGGAAATAGGATACATTTTAACCACTATTACTAGCTATTGTATATGACAAATAATTTTAATAAGGTGTTTCCTAAGCAAATACTTTTTTTTTAAATATTGAATAAGTAATTTATTAAGCAGGAAAACCATTACTGTCAGTCAACAATTAGATAAATGTGGAATATTAAAATCATGTCCTTAACATAACATAACATGACGCCTTTTATCCCTGAAGGGGTAGGTAGAGGTGTACATTATGCCACTGTACAATGTAACACCCACTTTTCACTATTTATGTTATGAGTTCCATATACTTAATAGGGAGTGAGCCTATTGCCATAATTCTCAATTCATAAGGTCATGTCCTTAACAAATTTTTTATTAATTTTTTTAATTTACAAAGGACATGATAGATACCGTTAAACATGCTCTAAAATAGAATGTTAATATGCGTTCTATTGAGCATGCTCAAAAATGTTCAAAAATCGAATGCTTGTCCATTAGCAAACATGCCTGAAATGAGCATGCTAATTTTGAGCAATATTCCGACATGCATGCTACTAAGAGACAAGTGCTCAATTGAAGCATGCTTTCGTGCTTTCAATTAGCATGTCTAACAGTACCTTTACGCTTTCACCAAAGTATGGTACTGTCAATGTGTATTGAACAAAATCAAAGTTAATTGACTGAGTAACACAAGAAGCTCATCAATACTTAAGCAGTAAAGAAATGTACTTGCATGAAATGGTAAATACATAATCCTAGTAATAATCCTATTAGTTTCACATGTTTCAATAACTTCTATTAGCAATATGTGCTGTATATAATTGTAACTAGGTATATATTTGTGTCATTGTTTGTGGTCAACCATGTTTTTACATGGTAATAAATAGTATCTATATTGGATTGCAGGTTCTATAATACCTCTAAAACAGTAGTAATAGAAACCTATGACTTTAAGACTTGCTGCAATAGCATTATTTATTAATAAGTCATACCACAACAATTTCTGTTTATAAACACTTAAGTATAACAAAATATTATACTAAAAGTAGGTACCTACAAGTTTTTGGGGAAAGCATCAACAGCCTGTTTCCATATAAAAGGTTTGTCTATCTACCTATATTAAGGACTTTTTAGGCTAGTAACATTTATATCTAGGTATTTATATCTCTGAGTAATAAATCAAAGTGATTAAAATAAAAGGTATATCTCTAGTGTGTGTAATTAAACAACCTTCACAAGTGAATTACTCATCATACAAGTCATTGTTAATTGTTTGGTTCATCCTATTAATTTAATAACTTCTTAACAACAGAAGCATAGGAAAAATGAATTACCTAGCATTATCTAGAAGTTTATAAACTTCTAGATTCTCTCAAATAAAATATTAAATGAATGAAAGATAACTTTTTTAAATTTGACCTTAAACACACCTAAGATTTTGACCTTAACATTTTTTGATACCACAACTAACTTTAATCAGCAAATAATTATAGAAACAAATATTTTTTTTTAACAGAACATTTACAAAGTTAGTAAGATGCTTCGTGCAGTGTTTCAAAATGTATAATAGCTATAGTGAATCATACCAACCGTTATTGGCATTGAGTCTAAAAGTGAAAGTTACAATGCACTTCCAACCACTAAAAGCATGGAAGGAGACAATTATCTAGCCGTGCAAGCCACCACTAGGCAACAATCAGACACATTTTAATCCATAACATGAATTTTCTCCTCCAAATTGCTGTCCAGTTTCCATTGAACCAGTTATAAGTTCAATACTACTGCAGTTTTATTACCATAAAATGTTACAACACAATAGGTAGAAATCTGTGTTTTATAGCCATGTGGATAACACTACAAATAATAATATTAACCCCACAATAAACCTGCTCCACAATATTATTACAACAAACCATTACTTTCCCCAAATCTCCATTGAGTTTATTCATCAACTTGATTCATGTTTTAACCAAAACATATTTTAGTTTTATCAGATTTATACAATAAGAAAATATTATTCTTTGATGAAAACATTTCCTCTTGCATACTCACAATTTCCTATGCATAGTGGTTTGTTTTTAAATGAATACTATAACAGTCACTTTGAATATTCATTATAAATAAAAAAATGTTAGTCACTATAGCACAAGACAGTTTACTTGTCAATTTTGAGTGACATACGAGCAAAGCACTCTTGATTTCTATAGAAAACAACTAAGTTGGTCAAGTTAGTAGTTTGAAATGTCAACGTCTCTCAAATGTGATGAAAGATAAAGAAAAAAGTTGAATATTTTCTTGAGTTCTAAACAGAGATTTTATTGAATCAGTATTAACAATAAACAACGCGAAACTGGACAGAGATTGTGACATTAAAGTGTGATATGTTAATGTTTTTATTAAGAACATGACAATGTTATCAACTGTAAGTACTGAGCGAGATACACCAAGATGTTTATGGTTCATGATTCATCAGTAGTTCAGTACCACAGAAACTTAGCTAGCTACATTATGTTCATTTACACTGAGTGACATAATAAAGCTTTGGTTACTTAAGCAAAGCATTTCCTAACAAACAGGTTGTTATCCTTTATACTAACTATGTAGGCATGAATTGATTTATGTAAGATTTGTGTTGAATTTCTCTCAACAACTGTGATCCATTAACCTTGTTTTTAATAATATTTTAGTTTACAAACATAAGACTTGTTTACTACAGAAAAGTAGTTTCACCTATTTAAAGACCATAATATTTTTATTACAGTGTGTGGAGATAGTGTGGAATTGAATTATTCAGTTTGGATTTGAGATGTATGTAGGTAAGTGGTTATACATCAAAGGATAGTAAAGTATCTATTTACTACTTATCCTGATATTGTAGATTGTATTCAAGGAGATAAGATAATGTATAGCACAGCCCTTACAACACAATAGAAGCTAACCACAGTAGATATTTTATTTTATATGCAACTATTGTTTCCTGCAAGCAAAGTACCTGTGTAGTTAAATGTAGGCAGGCTTTTTAGGTCATTTGTGCATGGAATAGCCACAACCTAGTTTCATTTCATATTTCTATTTAAACCACTGCATTAAATGACTTGTTATTGTACCTAATGCAACATTTAACTTAAAACTTTTTGAAATAAGCATCAATTTTCACTGCTGCTTCTGAATTATTTTACTCAACAGGATTCAGAACAGAATAACCAATAGAAACTAAATAACCAATAAGACATTGAGACATTAAAAGTTACTTAAAATTAACCCTTAAAACTTTAACCTAAATTACAAAATCACTTAACTCAGTCAAAAACTAACGAAAACCCTAATGTAGCACAGGTCTATCTCTAACCTTGGGATGCCAACAACAATAACAACCATTTACATTAAACTGAATTGTTGATGTAAGAAATCACTCTATAATTCTAATGTCAACAACATCAACATCAATAACACTTGTACCATCAAAATTCAAAGATGTAAATATCTTCATGGGTTTAATGAATTCATACATAAGTTCAGAAACATTCGATTGAACTGCAAAAACTGTGTTTACATTCACATAGATCATTGACTTTTATGAAATTCTTTTTTTTGTATGAGCTTCAGCAATGAGTCACACTGTAATTTCTATTAGACAACTATCTTGGTTGATTGTATTATCATTTTAAGGGTTTTATGGCATTATTAGTAATTGGTTGATACTTCACAGTATTTCACCTGCAATATGAGTCATAATTTAATAGACTATGTACTTAATTTAAAAGTTATTAAAGGTAAGATTTAAAGAGGAAAGAATAAAGTGACCTCAGTAAATCTTTACAACTGTTTTTCAGTACTTAAATTGATTAATTTGAACTAGATCTATTATATCATCAGGCTTATGACCGTTCACTGCAGGATCATGAGACTTATCTACATGTTTCATTGGTATAGTATAATTTCTACCTTTAGTAGACAGCTTGGAGATCACCACACTACTAGATTGTATACCAACGTGATTCATAGCTTATAAATTATTAAAACTATTGAAACTGTTCCATATTCTAACTCATTCTATTCTATTACACATTGGTATCACATGGTGTTCAGTCTTGGTATGAATTCCTAACCTCTTATTGGTTACTTGATACATAATCAGAAAAGGAAGAAGTAAACTACACAATTAGGTATTATTAACCTGTGGTGTGAACAAACCAATTGAATCTGATTTATGACTGAATTAGGACTATGATTGTTGTTTTGAATAATTCAATATAAGCATGATAGAATGTATGAATGGGAATGACTAAGGTGCTAAGTCCTAGGTCAGCGTGGTTGGGTACATTTGGTAACTGACTTGTGTCATTAAAATGCTAGTTAGGGGACTTTCGAGACTAGAAAGCTATAAAAGAAGATGCTTACGATGTTCTTTTGTCTTCACTCTGTCGTTCTTTGTCCTTGCTATTATCACGCTTATTCATAATACAAGACTTGCTGTGCAGGCGCAATGCCCAGCACTCAGCTCACTCCCTGTGTCCAGCGTCTGTCGGGGCCGCAGCGCAGCCCATGTCACCACAGCCTCCGCGACATCAGCCAGCGACGCGTCTCCATAACACAATCCAACACAACAACACTTTTGTCACTTCTTTTATATATTATATTGCTATTTTTTTCTTCACTGCGTTACTATTACCACTGCACTATTATACAATTTATCTCAAAATCATTTTTGTTACACTGCAAACACAATTTGAATGTGATACGGAATGCTTCGGCGACACCTGACGAATCGTTTCGGAAATCTTAAAATGATAACTGTCCTTTCTTTACCAGTTATAATTGATTATTTTATGCGATTTTACTCGGAAGGGGAGCGAGAGTGAATAGAGGTCGCCGTGCCAATGTTATGTTCATTGAAGAGTAACAACAAGCGATGTGGGTGTCCAACTTAGTCAAATTACCAAATCACTACGAAGCCTGCGAATCTTGTACCAAATAACGTTATACGTGTAGGGCAAATTAATATTTATTGATAAAAGAAATGAATGTATCGAAAAAATGTAACAATTGACAGTTCCTTGTGAGAAGTCAACCCCAATAATTGTCGGTCGGCACAAAACGTTCTGAAATAATTTACAACAAGGATTCCCAAGAACGGACTTAGAAGCACTGGAGGGAATATCAATCAAAGTAAAATAAAGCACAATTCGCGATTTTTAGGTAAGTTTCCGTGAGATTAGTCACAACGTCGCCGAAACATCAAATGGACATTTGTTCTGATAAAAAAGTTTAGGTTTTGTAATGGCCACCAATGTTACACTTTTAACACTTTATAAATTTGGATATGAGAGTTGTATTACCAAAAGTTGCAATCTAAACTAATTTATAAATTACACGTTTACATAAATATATTACCAACTAACGATAAAATTTCTTATTTATAAAATATTTAACTCAAAGAATAGTCACTGATTCGCCATTCGGCGCATGCGCAAACTTGCAGCAGTTTGTGTTGTCAGAGTAGATAAATACTTTTCGTTAAACGTAATTCTTTTTCAACATCATTATTAATTTTTAATTTTGATAAATTAAATGAAAACTGTGCACATAATCACATTAAGTTAACTATTCAATCATTTATTTAATGGTATATACCAAAACTAACTAAAATCAAATTGTCTTAACATTTTATATATTTCACTGGCAACATTATTTTAAAAGTAAAAATATAGATTGCGTTCATAGCGTACTATCGTTCGTTTCATTGAGTCTTATTATAATTTTATTTTAACAAATACTTTTATTAGAAAATAAAGAGTAACTCAGAAACTAAAATTTCAAGTTTTGCAGACTAGTAATGAAAACCAAAATAAATTAGTTTTTGTTTACGGAATCCATAGAGCTTCTTTCTTCTGATTGGTCACTTTTCAGAAATGAATGAATAATTCTTATTGGTTGGAATTTGACAAAAGAAACATGTGTTATGTTGGCGCTAAATTTAAAATACGCTACACTACGGTATCACGGTACGGTGATGAGTTATTTTTTCATTTTTGACGTAATTAAAATATTAGCTCACTAAAACTTAAATACATTATACAAATCATTGTAAATATCATATAAAAGCAGATTACTATACTTCCCAAGTTCTATTAGGTTGCCCTAATATTTAAAACTTGAATTTTCTACTATTTTACGTTACAAACACATACTTATAATATAAGTATTTGAAAATTAATAACGTATTTGTTTATACGTTACGCTATCTACAACGATACTTTGCCAAAAAGTATAAAACAGTACCGGTTTGGCAATACTAACAAAAAGTAGTCAGGTACAAAAAGCCGCTGCGAACGTCACATTTGGCCTTCACCTGTTTAAAAGCAGTTCGTATTTTGCTTGGGTGCGGACAAGATTATAACGAATCTTTGCCTTATTTAAACGAGAGTGAAACATGGTAAGCAGTGTTGTACGTTTGAGTCTACTATTTCGTTGTTATTGAATGTAATTTACTGAATCTTTACTTTAAAGTGGGTGCGAAAATGAGGATTGTGTAGATATAACAATGAAAAAAAAATGGCTGACGTGACAGTTAATTAGTTCGTAAATTACGTAGGTCACGTAGGTAAAAACCAAAATGTTGTTAAATGTAATTTATCTTAGTTAAGGGGTTCCTTAAAATTTAGGAGGTGTTGATGAAAATGGGCTTCGATATCCTATGAATAATACTAGCAGATTTGCCTCCTAGAGACAAAATCTTGACTCATTTTGAATGGAATGTTAGTCTTATGTCACTTATTGTAACCTAACCTACCTACGAATAGGTTTCTTGGATGGACAACTTTGATACTGGACGTTAAAGGAACTGAGATAAACTCTAATAATTCATTATTAAAGCTTTTTTTTAAGTGGCGTAAATCATCAAATGACTTCTCCCGCCTGGGTTGAGGAGGGAGGGAGTGTCAGACTAAAAACCACCCCGTTCCTACTCTTGCACTTCGAGTCAGTGCCCCGTTTACACGTTAAGTTCTCCGCGGTTCCGAATCAGCATCAGCCCTATTGGGTCCCATCCGTGGTGGTCTGATGGCTCTTTGAGCCGCGCGCGGACAGCGACGCGCCGTACGCTCGGGTCTTATTCTGGTCGGACGGCGAGCCACCCTTGCTCGCTATCTGCAGGCCCGCGCTTACGGTGGCCGGAGATCGTCCCGCGATCCCCGACGCCCGGAGTGTCCTTCGCGATGGCTAGATTATTAACGTATACTATTACGTATAAGTAGGTACTATTATTTTAATGTATTATGTTTTATACGTTAATCTGACTTTATACTCAAACTGACAAAACATTTTATGCGAGAAAAGACCTTTGGTCAGCATAATCAAGGTTGCAAGTTGCAAGGCATAACACACTACCTATGTTAGGTAAGTAGGTTCCTATAAATCTAGAAATCCACGTAAGTACCTACGTTGAATTCACCTTTTATTAATGTTAATATTATTCCTTTTTGAAGCAATGTGCCTAAGAGTCGCTCAGAGCCGACTAAGTGATAATAAGTCAGATTATATACTCGCTGGGCAGTAGTACTCTTTATAATAATCTTGAACATTGATTAAAGTTAAAAACTGTGATTGCAATAACCGTCGTGCCAAGCTTAGAACTGAAAATGATAAACCCACCTTATGTAGGTGAGGCCCGAGACCTATTCAGTAATGAACTGCTACTCTGCGGGCTGTTGATGTGTGTCTTGTGTGAAATATCTCCTCATTAATCTCATTATCATCAACAGCCAGAAGATATCCACTACAGGACAAAGGCCCCTTAGTCTTCAACGTCGAACATCTTGCCACCTGCTGACTCCCCACGACTCTGGCGATGTCATCGGTCCACCTAACGGAGGGCCTGGTTTTAAAAGATAACTTGCCTCTAATCCTCTAAGCATGATTGTCTGCTTGCAATTTTCCAAAAAAATAAAACTTTTTTTTGAGGGGGGAAAATCATCCAATGGCTTCTCCCGCCTTGGCTTAGTCGAGAAGAAGTGTCAGACTCTTACTGACTAAAAACCACTCCGTTCCTACTCCTGCTTTCAGGACTCTACGTTCAGCCTTCCGTGGTTCCGTATCGGGCAACAGCCTTGCTGGGCCCCATCTGTGGTGGTCTGATGGCTAAAACAATAGCACTTTGGAACCAGCCATCTAAAATTCTAATTCACCGTAACCGTAGTACAGTGGCCAACACATCAACAAACTCCAATTTTTGTCATTGGATTTTCGACTTTATATATAAACGGGTGACGACGAAATTTGACAGAAAAGAGAAGGTTGACGTGCTCCTCATTGTACCTAGATGAAAACGTAGGTATTACCTAGGCTAGGCACATTACATCCTCCGTAAATAATACAATTGTTACAACACATCTGTTTGTAGATAAACGTCTGTTAACATGAGTTGCTAGTGACAAATCTCTGGTTACCTTGATTAATGTCGTAATAAAAATACCTACCTACATTGTGTCTAGCGTAGATCCGCTTTCCGACAAACCAGAGGTTAATCATATTGCACTGTACCTAATACTTTTAATTTCAAACAAAACGCCTTTTCTCTCTCCTACCAATTTTAAATGTTGCTGTGCCCGACAGGATCTATAATTGTTTTTTCAAACCAACTGTATGTGTACACTATGTATGCAATAAATAGTTGATTACTTGATAATTCAAATGTAAAGCAAAGCAAATTATTTCTTTATGAAATATCATTATATGCTGACCTTTTTTTTAAGGGGGAAAAAATCATCAAATGACTGCTCCCGCCTGGATGAGGCGGGAGGGAGTATCAAACTCTTACTGACTAAAAACTACCCCGTTCCTTCTCCTGCACGTCGAGCCGAAGCCCCGGTTATCCGTTAGGTTCTCCGCGACATGCTGACCTTACTGCAGAGATTTTTAAACAAAATGGGTAGAGTGAAGGAGGTTCTGAGATTAATGCATGAACTTGATGGAAAATTGGAAACTAATAGAGTCATAATTTATGCATTTCGTATATATTTCTGTCTATGCCCTGTAATAGGTATCTGGCTGCTTCTATAGGACAACTGCGTGAGTTCAGTATGTAGATGTAGGTCGGTATATTTGATTTATGCATCTGCTGAAGGTCTCAGTGCAACGAGGAAGATTGAGCGCAAGGTCTAAACCGAATAGGTGGTCAAAAAGGATTGAATCAATGTCAAATTGACTTTACAAAGTGACAAACACAGTACAAATGTTTTGTCTACACTTCAAAAGTACGTAAACACTTAAATGAAGACTTGGATCATGATGCATCTATTTTTAATTTAGCTAGCAAACGAATCTAAGTGGATTGATTTATTCAAGGATAAATTGAAGAGCATTTGCAATTGTTTTTGCAAGAGGTATGTGCGTAACGATAAATAAATAAATCGATCCTGATAATTTTAATGTGTTTTTCTGGCGCGGTCTATTTACACGC